TGGGCTAGCACTAATACCCATCATGACAGAACACTGCGGCCAACAAGCTAGCCCTGCGGAAACATCCTCAGACTCCTTCAATCGAGTTCTCCTTTTCTTCAAGCAGTCCATAGATGACCTTTCCACCATTACTCCACCCCGTGAACGGATATCATCTGCTGACATCATTATCTCCGACCTCAAGAAATATCCAGACCTCTACAATAACCTTCTACTAGCCGGATATATAGATCACATTTATTGGAATATAGAGGACGCTTTTTCTAAAATATCATTCAAACAATCTCCACCTACCACCAAATCCAAATTTTCATCTTCTGCTGCTGCCGGTTCGCCTCTGCCTTCTGCCTCGTCCAGGCGTAGGAACCTCCGCCGGGACAAGAAAGCCACTCCTTCTCCGGTGGTTCTGCCTGACGCCTCCACTCCTTCTCCGGTGGGTCAGTCCGACGCCTCCATCCTCCCTGTTGTCCAGTCAGCAGCAGTAATCAGTCCATCTACTCACCAGGTCAGTTCCATCCGTCTCATCAGCCACCTTTCAGATCAACAGTTAGCACCCTCAGTCAATAGACTCAAGTTTGGTACATTAATCAAACCCCAAATATCTAGACCTCCACGTCAGTCAGATCCAGGATCAGAACTTTGTAATAAATCTGTTTCTCTAGTCTCTGAACTTACCTGCTCTCCGTTTTCTCCAGCTTCGGTACCCGTTAGCCATCCAGTTTCCTTAGCCTCTGAGTCCGTTAGCATACCGTTTCCTGTAGCCTCAGAATCCGTTAATCCTCTAGATTCAGCTGACACCTCTATTCCTTTAGTTTCCGAACCCGGTTTTGTTTCAGTACCCCTAGCTTCAGAACCAGAAATCATTTCAGGAACTTTTTCAGCCCGTTAGCATTTCAGATTCCCCAGCGACAGAACCCGGAAGTAATACCGTGCTTCCGGTTTCGGAGGCAATTAGTTTTTCTACGTCTCCGGCCTCAGAATCTTTGCCAGTTAATGCTCCCCACATTCTAGAGTCAGATCTCTTGGTATTTTATTATGGGGACAGAGAAGATTTTTTCCCTTTCAGGTCACCTCATTTATCTCTTAGCCAGCCAGATCTAGCGTCCGAATCCATTTCTAAACCTGTTAGCAATCCAGTTAGCCTAGAACCTGAACCCTCTTGCACATCAGACAGCTTGTTACCAGAATCTATCTGTGAACCTGTTAGCCCCGCTGCTAAGACACCCCGATGTAAGAGACGGCGTCGCCGTAAGCACGCTCTGAGCCGTCTAGAGACCCCTGAGTTAGCTTTGTGCCGTCTAGAGACCCCTGAGTTAGCTTTGTGCCATCTAGAGACCCCTGAGTTAGGTTTGTGCCGTCTAGAGACCCCTGAGTTAGCTTTGTGCCGTCTAGAGACCCCTGAGTTAGCTTTGTGCCGTCCAGAGACCCCTGAGTTAGCTTTGTGCCGTCCAGAGACCCCTGAGTTAGCCCTGTGCCATCCAGAGACCCCTGAGTTAGCCCTGTGCCATCCAGAGACCCCTGAGTTAGCCCTGTGCCATCCAGAGACCCCTGAGCCTGCCCTGTGCCGTCCTGAGACCCCTGAGCCTGCCTTGTGCCGTCTTGAGACCCCTGAGCTAAAAGTTAGAAGGGCTTCAGAATTTAGTGTTGGTGAAAATGTGCCTCCAAGAGTCCCTCAGCGGAGGCCACTAATCACCAAGAACCCTCCACCGACGCCTCAAGCCACCTCAGAGACTGAACTTGAGCCTCCATGGGTGATCCCTCCGTTTCCAGAGGTGGAACCACAGTCGGTGGCCTCCCCAGTTCCCGAGGCTGAACCACAGTCGGTGGTGTCGCCTGCTCCTGAGACGGTACCACAGTCGGTGGTTCTGCATGTTCCTGTGGTGGAGCCACTGTCGGTGGTCTCCCCTGTTCCAGACCCAGAGCCGCAATAGGCGGGCTCTCCTGCTCCTGAGCCGCTATTGGAGGGCTCCCCAGCTCCAAACCCGGAGCCGCAATCGGCGGGCTCCCCTGTTCCTGATCGGGTGCCGCAATCGGCGGGCTCCCCTGTTCCAGACCCTGCTCCAGAACCACAGTCGGCGGTTTCTTCAGAGCCTCCTCCAGAACCGCAGTCGGCGGCCTCTTCCGAGCTTCCTCCAGAGCCGCAGTCAGCGGCCTCTTCAGAGCCTCCTCCAGAGCCGCACTCGATGGTTTCCCCAGAGCCTCCTCCAGAGCCGCACTCGATGGTCTCCCCAGAGCCTCCACCAGAGCCGCACTCGGCGGTCTCCTCAGAGCCTCCTCCTGAGCCGCAGTCGGCGGCTGTTTCTGAGACTGTACCTGAGCTGCCGAGGAGGGGACGGGGTACCCCGTGGGGGTACCTGCTGAAGCTTGGGCGTCATCCTCCTGATAAGCTGCTTCGCCTCCGGCCCCGCGGCAGACCTCCAGAGCGTCAGCTTCGCCTTCATCCCCGTGGCAGACCCCCAGAGTGTCAGCATCGCCTTCGACCACCTAAGACTCTGCTCCATTGCCGGATTGTAGGCCGGCCTCCTGAACCTCAACCTTGTCTCCGGCCCCACGGCAGGCCACCTGACACTGTGTCCTGCTGCCGGCCCCATGGCAGGCCACCTGAGACTGTGACCTGCTGCCAGTCCCTCGGCCGGCCACCTGAGACTCTGTCCCGCTGCCAGTCCCTTGGCCGGTCATCTGAGACTCAGTCCCGCTGCCGGCCCCTCGGCTGGCCACCAGAGACTTTGCCCAAGAAGGTTTTTGGATTTTCATTTGTTTTCGTCCACCATAAGTGGATCGTTTTTTGTTCTGGACTCTGGTTTTGTTTTCTGCCCTCCTGGCCTGTTTCCACCTTCGCCCACCCTGGGTGGGTTGTTTTTTGTTTGTTGGACCTCTTTTTTGTTGGTTCTGGCCCTCCTCGCCCTAAGTGCCCCCTCCGCCCGCCCTGGGTGGGTTGTTTTTGTTTTCTGGACTCTATTTTCTGTTGTCTCTGGCCCTCCTCGCCCTAGTGCCCCCTCCGCCCACCCTGAGTGGGTTTGTTTTTTGTTTGTTTTTTGAACTTTTTTTTTCAGGGGGCGTCTGGAATCCGCCCTTGAGGGGGGGGCTCTGTTGGGATCCTCAGGCTTGCCCACCAGAGGGCGCCGAGGATCCTCTTCTGCTCTCTTTGTCTTTCCCTTAGGGCTGGAGTCACTGTCAAGGTTCTGGAGATTACCCTCTGCCTCCAGCAGAGTGCGCCGTGGGTCCTCCTGAGCTGAACCTCCCACACACCTGTGGCTGATCTACTAATCAGGAGGACCACAGTATATAAGCTGACTTCAGACCTTGCTTCTACGCCACAGTGTTGATCTTAGTTGGTTAGCTTCCTGAGCCTCAGCTACTGAAGAATCTTGTTATCTCTAGTGTGAGATTAGATTCTAATTCTTCCTTGTCTCTGTCTCTTCGTGAAAGCTCTGGATGAGCTCTGGATGAGCTTAACCTCCTGTCTCCTCGTGAAGCTCTGGATGAGCTCCACCTCCTGTCTCTTCGTGAAGCTCCGGAAGAGCTGTCTCTCTGGCAACCTGTCTCTGGCTTGCAGCTCTGGGAGAGTTGCATCACTGGTGACCAGTTTCAAGCCTGAAGCTCAAAGGAGAACTAACCAGCTAATCTGCCCCGGGTGAGCCAACCCAAGATTCCTACGTAGTGAAACCTGAAGACTCCTATGTGGAGTTTCCCTGGAGGTTCCTACGAAGAATCAGTTTCTAGAGTCCTTCGTGTATCCCCTTGTTCTCTGCAGTGAGCTGGAAGCTCAAATGAAGGACTGCCACGCTAGCCTGAAGCTAGAGGCTTAGCCCCTCGTGATCTCTGTTATCCAGCCATTTCCCGTTCCCTGCACAGACCCCAGTGAATCAGCCTCCTGCCTGAACTGTTCCTTTCCCACTACTCATGTTTGTGCCACAATAAACTCTTTTGGACTTTTACCCAGTTTCTCCGTGAGTGTTTCTGCATCTTGGGCTAGCACTAATACTCATCATGACAGTAAGATCTAGATCTGGACTTTGACTAGGCCATTGTAGCAAATAAAAATATTTTCTCTAACCCATTTTTTATTTATTTTTTGCCCTTACTATATATTTAGGGTAATTTCCTTACATTGCTCCTTGCTGCCCAGCTTTATTTAGTATATCTTGTTTCCCTTTCTTCTATCTTCTTCTTGGTTAAGTTTTGTTTGCTAATATTTTCAAACAATTCCCAAAAGACTACATGAAATGGCCATATTTATTTCAAGATTGTATACAAGTAGAATATTTACTCATTTGTTGGTATCTGAAGGATCAAAGTAAAAGGGAGGGTGGATGCAAATATGTTCAAATGTTTTCAGAAATGTAGAATGGCTACCATTCCATTATTGAAATAATTTTACTACCACTTATGCACTTTTTTGTTGGTCCCTCACAGATTATCTAACAAAATACCTTGATTTTTTTTAAGCTCGTTTGACCAAATGTGGAAAGGTTAAAATGAAACAAAAGTACCTTTAGCAGGGGGCAGTGAAATGATAAGCTTGTGCCATTAAAAAATAAATAAACGAATAATAAAAGAGTGAATAAGAGACATTGCTGTTGCATTTCCATTTCTAAGCATCCTTTTCAGAAACATTTGCTGCCACTCCTCCATCTGTTTTCTATGTCTAACAGTGGAGCTTTATTCATGACCCCCCCCTCTTCTTTTCTTTAGTCCTTTTATTCCCCCAAGCTTGGCTTTCTTTATGTTGCTAATTATTATCATCCCTATCTTAGATCCACAGAAGAGCAACTGTATTTATTAAAGAAAGCACTGAAATGCTGAATGCTTTTAGATGAAATGAATAAAATGCACCTAAAAAATCAATAGAAATCCCCTTATGGGTATAGCACATGCAGTCAGAAAGCATGCTGTTGTCTCCACCTCCTTTCTTGCTCTGATGACATCATGAACAGCCGGTCTGCATTCAGCCAGTCAGATTGCAGAGAGGCCTGTGCTGATGAATAAACTCTCTGCTGCCTGTCTCCCTCCTCTCTCATTCTGCCGCTCCTCTGCTTTGGCTTGGTGCTCACTGCTCACCCTCTTACAGGCTCTCTCTCACCCCCCTACACAATTACTCTGTGTTGCTGCAAACATGGTTGAGGCTTTCGTTGGCACGTGGAACCTGAAGGAGAGTGAGAAATTTGATGATTACATGAAAGAGCTGGGTAAGAATGATCATTATTTCTACCTCTGGTGCACGTTTAATGAATCCGAGCATGTGCGCATGCGCGTGAAGCAGGAGAGGATGCAGAAATGCCAGGGTTGCATGTGATCACATGCAGCTGAGGAAAGATAAATGTCTGTGTTTACATTTGAAACTGTCTTAGTGTGGGCTGATTGGGCGAGAGCCTTGGAAGGATTAAATGATAGAGAACTGGTAAATAAGGGAAGGGACCTAATAACAGAAATGGGGGGTGGTAAAGATAAGGTGTGTGTGTGTGAGGAGAGCATAAAGAAAGAAGATGGGAGCTATGGGGGAGAAGAAGAATTTTGGACCGCATGGCCAGGGAGCTGAGAGTAAAGGAGGGGCTCTCTCTTGGTGCAGAAAAGAATACCCTAACTTTGCAAGGCAATGAATGGCCTACATCTGCCATTCTCTCACACACACCCACACACAATGTGCATAATGTGGGTGACCTTAGATAAAACTGTTCTTTGTTTGCAGCCATGTTAGGGTAGAATATTAAAATGACTCAGAAATCATGATGAAATGCCTTCAAAGAAATTTCTCATATATATATATATATATATATAAGTGTGTGTGGGAGTTTGTTGATTTAGCATGCAAGAAGAGAACAGGTGGGGGGGATTTTACAGCCGTGAAGAGCTATTTGACTTTGTCAAAAAGACTGATGGCCCTTGACCTTACAGGCTTACCGCCATTGACCTGTCTGCTCTGTTTAAACTCAGAAACCTTGGGACTTTTCGACCCTTTAACCCCCAGATTTTGGATCAATGGGGCATTTTACTGCGACAGATGCATCTACAAAGAAAAAAAGACAGTTTCTGTTTGTAAGCCTTATGCAGAACAGGTTCTTCACTAATTTAGGAAAGGGTGTGAGTCAGTATTACCCAGTCAAATGACCTGGTTTCCTTCCTCGATCCTCATACTTGTGCTATATACCACCATCCTGAAAGGAAAGGGAATAATCATTCGCACTCCTGCATGTCCTGGCAGGAACTCTGGTCAATGGGACCCTGCTGTGTTTAAAGAACATGCTGTAGACCTGATAGGAGACAAATAGAGATTACAGATTGTGTCATTTGAAGGAACCCAGAGGCTAAATTCAAAGCTTCTCCTTTAACCTTGTATCAACAGATCCCACAAAATAGCTCTAAATCATCTGTAAACTAAAATGTGTGGGTTTCATGGGAACATGTTTCAACAACTGTTACAGCTATTGCTTCACATTCTGAGTTTCTTTTGATTTTATAAAAAATATATATTTCCCTTTTGCAGTTTGGCTTTTGGATTGTGACACTTTACATTTTTTTTATTCAGAATGAAAGGTATCCAAGCATCATCTTAATGTAATGGTTGAATAAAAAGTTCTCCCCATTGTTGTTTTAACAAATTAATTATACATTTTTTTTAATGATTACATTATATCTTATGCAATGTTCTTATTTATTACAAAAGGAGGATACAAACATTGAAATTAGCTACACCCTGAACCAAGATAATATTTTATTTTTACTGAGGCCTAGAAAGCATATATCCAGCCATTATTTAATGATTTTCAGACTTTAGCAATTGAGTATAAATCATTTTAAGGGAAGCTAGATTTGTATAATGTCCACAAAGCAAAGAAGGACGTATACCGGTAGTAATTAAAGACTGACCCAACACACAACTTTACATGAGAAAAACATAAGGGGGCCTAGAATAGGACCCTGAGGAATTACATCCTGCAAGGCTAATATACTATATACATCACATCAAACCGTAAAGGAGCACATTTAATTCTTCTTTTAAAATCATGATATCACACAAAAGTCATCCTGCCTGTCCCTTAACAGGGTCTCAGTGTTGATTTGCATGAATGGATTTGCAGATTTGGTATCAAGCTGAAGTCTGGAAAATCCTCCATCTTTACAATGCATGCAGGTTTGAAATCTACTTGTATTTATGCTGCTGAATTTTGTTTTTGTTTATTTAGGCGTGGGATTTGCTACACGCAAGGTGGGCAACTTGACTAAGCCCACCACAATTATCTGTGTGGACGTTGACAAGGTGACCGTGAAGACCCAGAGTGCCATCAAGAACACAGAGGTTTCCTTTAAGCTAGGAGAAGAGTTTGACGAGACCACAGCCGATGACAGGAAGGTCAAGGTGAGAGGTCATAGATATTTCAGTCCTAAAAGAGACTCTGGGAATACAAACTAAGGGGCAAAACACACAACTCTATTTGCAAATTAGATTTTTGTTTTTTAAACAAACAAAACAAACTGTTTTTTTTTATTGTTTCTGTTTAATGATGCCGATCTGTTGCACATATTATACTTTAGTGGACAGTAGACTGGATCTCAAAGAAATACAGAAGTTGTCAGGGCCAGTTTGTTATGACTGTTAAAAAAAGAACAGACAAGGATACAAAACAGCCTCATTGAAATTGGTTTCTATCTTTTATGATGTGATGGAAGTTAGCCAGAAAGGTCAACAATTAGTGTTGCTCCGATACCGGTATTGGGCGGGGCCCCGATCCAGCACTAAATGGTTGTATCTGTGTCGGCGAGTACCAACAAATAGGAAACCATTTTGAGAGCCAAAAGTTTATTCAACTGTTGTCACCCAATCCACGTAGGCAATAATAAGTTCTACTGGATTCACTTGTTTTAGTCTTTTTCCTGCTTCACAAAGGTAGGCAGCAGCTTGACAAAGCCATAATGGCAATTATTTTACATCCAAGTAGTATGCAGTTCTTCATATATACACACACACACACATCAATTTCAGACATATGGTATCGGTATGGTATCAGTATCGGACAATACTGCACAGCCAGATATTGGGTATCAGGGCCAAAAAAGGGCATCTGCGCAACACTATCAACGATAAGAGTTTGAAGTCAAGAGCACCTAAAATCTAGATTTGCCTTGAATAAGAGCAAATAAAGCTTTTCAATTGAAGGGTTAAAAATAAACTTCTAATCTTAGCCTTGTGAGGCTAATGAAGATATTCCCTTTCAGAGGACAATGAAAATTTTGAAGGTGTTTCGGGGGTAAAAACATTTTTACCCCGAAATATTATCTCAGCAAGTGGGCAATCAAGTTTTTCCCTAATAATTAAAAACAAAAAAGTAGAATTTAAGTTAATACAAAAATCTAAGCAATACATAAAATGTTGTCATTTGTCGTTCGCTTATCTTTTCTCAATGATGTAGACTTTTCTTTGAGGTGAATTCACAGCTAAAGTTATAGTTGGATGTAAAATTAATGTAATTGTTAAGCTTAGCATTATTAGCATTGGCTTGTTTTCAAGTTCACTTCCAGCAGTATTTAAAATTATATTTTTAGTTGTTGCTAAATATATTTTTTTCTATAGAAGAGAAAATGTAATGGAATAAAGTTAATTTGGAATAACCTTATATATAAATTTGAAGAAAAAAAAAGAATAAATCCTTTTAGTTTTAATGTAGCTAATGTTAGCTATCATACAGATTTTCAGGATATGGGGATAATTTAAATACAAAAATGTTTGAAACCATTTTATCTCATCATTAGATGGCTAACATCGCCTTATAGTTTTTTAATTTGGAGTAAAATGGTATCTAAAAGCAAATTTTTTGAAGATGACCAACAAAATGATTTAGGTTTATCTAAGCTGTGTTAATGTGGATTTATTTTGCAGTTCCTTTCAGAACTGGGCTGCAGAGGGTAGAGGTTTCAAAAGTTATTTTTTCCTGGAGCTAAAAAGTATTTTATATTTATATATATATATATATATATATATATATATATATATATATATATATATATATATATATATATATATATATAAAGCAAACTTGAAATATTAGCTTACACTGGTGAATGTAAGCTAGCTTTTTGTGGATTGTTGTTAGCTTACACTGGCTAATGTAAGCCAGCTTTTTGTGGATAGGTATTACAATTTTCAGGTTGATACATTTTTTTTTTTATTAACTGTGATTACACTAGCAAAATGTTATGCTTCAACATCGCTTAATGAATGTTAAATAATACAATAATACTTTTTCATTTACCTTTGAATAACATTAATATTATGTCTGTTCAGCTAGTTTACATTTTACACTTCTGCATTTTCCAAACCCCTTTTCTTGCATCAGAACTTTCAATGGTTATTTATCCAAAGTTTCACAAGTTAAGGAAGAACTTTCCTGGAAAAGCATACTTGAATTTGGTAATAAATATCTCAAAGTCTTTCATGCTTTCTTTAAGGACCTTTGTATTTAAAATATGCTTTAAAAAATCACTTAAAAGAGAGAGAGAGACATTACATAAAATACCCCTAAAATTGTAAGCACTCAAGTAAAGCAACATACTTGGTGTTCCACAAATACAGATTCAAGTTTTGTTATTTGTGTTTCCATTAATGTGTGTTTAATATGCCTTTTCTACAGTCCATAGTGAAGATAGAGGATGGGAAGTTGGTACACATACAGCGATGGGACGGTAAAGAGACCAGTCTGGTCAGGGAAGTCAACGGAAACGCCCTCACACTGGTAATTATCCTGTTATATCCAATGAACAACTGTATGATAAGTGTTAATTGTATTGTAATTTTCTCCATCTTTTTCTGCCACAGACACTTAAACTTGGAGAAGTGGTTTGCACACGTCGCTATGAGAAAGCAGAGTAGAATCCACCATGGAGTTTGCATCAGCTAAAGTCCCAAAACTTCTTACTACTAACTAACTGGTAGTAAGGAGGCCAAGAAAACGCCATGTGTGGCTGCTAGTTACCCTTTTACTGTACCATCAGTATTACTGTTACTGCTGACCTTGAGTTTGCCTGTTTCTCAGCCCTTTTGCCTGTTTTTTTTTCAAAGCTATACTAAACAAACACTGAACAAATTCCAATGATTTTATTTTGTTGTTGTTTTCCATAAAACTGCTGATTTGTCTTTATTATGTTAGAAATGTATTTTGCATGATACATTTTAAAAAGAAAAAACCTTGAAAATTTCTGGAATTTAAAAAATGTTCTTGGTATGATCTCAAACATTCAAAATAAAACAGTCAGCAATGACAAAGAAGTAAAGTAGTGACTGATTTCTGGTCTTTCATTGTAATTACAAAGCATGCTATTGCACTGCCAAGCAGTTCAATGTTTGTTTGTTTTTTCTCTTTCCATTGGTGTCAGATGGCAGTTACATACATTTTTGTGACCGAGCCTCCAAGATTCTCATAGCCTCAATTAAAAAGTGTAAAAAAAAATTGTACCTGGGTAAACAGGTTCAGCCCTGGTGAGCAAGGCTCTAGTACAAGCTATATTTAGCTACATCTCAAAATGGACAGGCACTCTGTGTTACCGCTGTTTCCATCACAACTGCCGGTGTTTAAACTGAACCTAATGACTGCTCCTAAAAAGTCTATCTGTATGCATCTTTCCCCTTGGTGTGGTGAGGCTATTGGAAAGTGTTCACCAAGGATAAAGGGAACCTTATGTCCTCCACTCATGTATGAGGTGTGAGGTCTAAATTTATATCCCCCCCTCCCTTAGATCATATGTGTAATAACTCAGAGCCAACTGGATAGAGGGTTAAGGGGTAAAAGGGCACATTAGGAGACAGTTCACCTCCTGTCTGCTACGACCTCCTGAAGTTACACTGAATAAGAACTATAATGTTGATGGGATACATGTAAATATCTTGTGTAGAAAACCTGTTTTTTAACCACTTTTTTATTGTCCAGTTTAAACATTTAGTTTAACATTTTGTTAAGATGAAAAAATGACACACAAAAAAACATGAAACTGAAGACTTGAAAATCCAGTGTGATGTTCTAGCTGCTGGGCATTGCTGCCTGACGCACCTCTACCAGTGCCTTGAGCAAGTGTGCCTTGTACACCCCTGGGCTTGAGCGGGTCATCAGCTGGGGACCACCAGTCAAGGATGTTTGGCTCCCTTAACTCCAGTACATCTCTTGGTGGCATAACGATGGCAGGGATCTCTCCCTGCCACCCCCTGCTGATGCCCTAGGTGTTAGGCCCCAACCCCTATCTTTCCTCCTTAGCCACAGCCAAAAACTGCCCTTCTCTGCCTCCTTTGCCAATTCCCTGGTTGCTTTGCGACGTCCAGCTCCCATGCATCCAAGGTTGCCCAGCAAGTGGATCATTGAGGACCCGACAAATCCCCTGCAGCCATCCTCGATGGGGCATGTGATGGCTTTCCAGCCTGTCTCTCTGCACTCAGCCGCCAGATCTAAATATTTGGCATGCGTTGGTAGCCTCCATGCCCTGCTCCCACAGCACAGTAACTCCACCAGAAGGATGGTCTTGTGTGGAACTGACCCCAAGATCAGGTCTGGGCGCAATGATGTCTCCACAATCTCCCTTGGAAAGTGAAGTTGTCTCCCCAGGTCGACCCTCATGGACCACTCGCTGGCAGGTGAGAGGAGACTTGATGGTAATATGCGGTGGGCAGGTTTGGGGTTGTCCCCGGCTCTTGTGAAGATAATATAGATAAGATTAGACAATATAACCAACCTAAACAAGTTCGGCCACAAAAACGGCCTGAAATAGTTAAGTCATTTAGTTCCACTTAGTTTTCCATAGAAGAGGTTCTTAATTGATGATTGCAGCAATGGGGCTTAGCTTAATTGATTTTAATGCATTTTTTTGCACTCTGAAGAAACAACGTGGACTTACAACCTTATAAATTGAGATCAAGCAGGACTCTTGTCATAATGGACCTATACTGACAATCAAAGAAGGTTCTACTAAAGTTTGGTTTTAGCAATTGAGGGTGACCAATGAAATAGCAGCAGACATCATGAGAAACCACAATGACTTATGCTTTTATGCTGTTCCAGTTCCTCTTTCAAAGATAAAATCATGGATTCTGACAAAACATGTTAGCAGCTACGTGTACATCCTCGTGTTTGGTTTTGGTTTGGTTGCAGCTATGGATTTTCCCCACCTTTATGTCCTGCTCTAAACCATTACACCTGCAATATGATTGCCCGACACATTCTGAGTCAGTGTTGAACAGTTGAAGTAGCGGCGAGACAAGATGGACTCTCCTGTGTTTGTGTGAATTCACAAATATTGTGAGAAATAAGCTTGCATGCAACGTTGGTTCAGAGAACATATCATTAGAAAACATTAAAAAACAGGCAGAACATTTGGGAGGAAAAGTCTTTCAATTATAACAGCCAAAAAAACATCCAGGAAAAGAAGTATAAATTTGTTCTACAAGATGTATTTACCTAAAGTGAAGCTTGTGCTCGAGCAGCCGATGAACGGTCATGTAATGGAATATTTCAGAGTTGTATTGCTTTCACAGCTCTGGGAAAGAACTGGTTTTAAGTGTATTGAATCTGGGTGTGTTCTTCCAGAAATGTTTTTCTGACGAACAAACAGCTCAGAGCCTAGATGGTTGGGATATAAATCAATTCCCTGTGCTGTCTTTACCGCCCATGCTCAGTCCTTCCCCTCCTGTGCTATGCAGCTCTTGTACCACACTGTCATATTGAAATATAGGATTCTTTCCAATTTTCAATCATTTTTAGGAGATGTGAATTCCCAGGAAACATTGTTTTCTGGTGCTCCACTACCTCCCTGTATCGGCTGAGAGGACGTTAGATTCTCCTGGCACTCCAGTAATCTACTTGGCCTTGTTGGTGTGACACCAACCGCTGTGGTGTCCTTGGCAAAGTTCAACGTCATACTGGACTGGACTCATAATATGACGCCCTGTACAAGAACAGCCAGAGCCGCCTCCACCTACTTAGGAGGCTGAGCTTCTCTGCAGTGAGCAGGCCCCTGCTTAAAACCTTCTATGACTCTTTTGTGGCCTCAGCCCTCCTCTACGCCATCGTCTGCTTGGCTCCTGGTAGTGCAGAGCGGGACAAAAAGAGACAAGAACAAGCTGGTGAGAACGGTCGCTTCTGTCCTGGGCTGCACTCTGGATTTGGTGGAGGAAGTAGCTGAGAGGAGAGTGTTGTCCAAACTCACATCTATCATGGACAACACCTCGCACCCCCTGCACCAGAGTGTAGAGGAGCTGAGCAGCTCCTTTAGTGAAAGAATTATACACCGCTTGTAAAAAGGAGCACCACCGCAGGTCATTCATCCCTACTGCCATCAAATTTTACAATGCGACATTATGACTGCAATAACTGTGCAATTACTATTTAATACCCTGTGAAATAATCCTGTTAAAAAAGAGACTTCAGCTGTGTGTATATATATATATATATATATATATATATATATATATATATATATATATATATATATATATATATATATATATATATATATATATATATAGTGTGTATATATAGATATGTACACCAACAATAAAAGTGCTCTAATGATAACTGCATCTTATCTGTTATATTTGTGTTGTAGAGGGAAGAGCTGTCATGTGTGAATGAGGGTGAAGAGGGCATCGCTGAAAACATAGCTCCTTAATATGGAGCTCATCTCGTCTAGCTGAAGGACGAGAGGCCGATGGTGGATGATCATCAGACTTCTTGTTGCTTGAAAGGTCAAAGTGTGAAAAGAAGCTCTTTAAGGTGACGGGTAGATCTGGGTCATGCTGTTCACTGTTCCTATAGTCTGTGATGGCCCTGATGACTCCCGACACCAATCCTCTTTTAAAAAAACTAAGTGAAAGTCATGTTTCCTTCCGGTTTAAGCCTGTTTTATGAAATTAGTTCATCTTCCATTTTCAGATTACAAGCGGTACAACAAACAAGCACACATTTGACTATTTTTGGCTTCCTCTACTTACTCTCAGGTCAGTTTGAAACGTATTTAATGATAATTTTATCTGAGCTACTATACTTATAACTCATGATACCGTGTTCCTTCAGATCAGTTAACCAGATGGTTTCACTAGCTTCAAAGACAATTTAGACTCAATGAAATTTTTGCCGAAGCAGTTTCAAATCTATGTAGCGCTTCATCTTTGTTCACCTTTTAACCTCTTCCTGATTTGTGTCTGTTCCTTGGTTTTTAGTGTATGACACTTGGATTTAATCCTTTTTGCTATTTGAGACAATTAAACATAATTAAACATGGGAATTCTTAAAGAAGACAAGTGTTTGTTTGGGAACATGTTAAAAGCTTTGCAGAAAAAAAAAAGTATTGATTTAGATGTCCATTGAGACATTTACTTTAGGAATTATCCAGTAAGCTCTATGCTTGTATGAACTGGTCTGCTTTAGTTAACTGGTGGAGTCTAATTTGATTAAACTAACAAACTTCAGGGCCCCTGAACCAATTATTATTACAGCATTTTGTGACTTAAACTACCAGTTTTAATGTCTGTTTCTGAAACATCATTTAGCCATGTTGCAACTTGTTGAGATGTAGTTTGGGGGATAAATGATGAAACAACTGAGGAACACATTGTGTAATTCACCAGTTCCCCATACAGAAGAAAAAGACTCAGAGAAAGAAGTGGAAGCCATGGCAAAAAGCTTCTGTTTTCATTTTTTTTATAGATAGTGACATTATACATGTACAGCTTGACTGACTTTGGCCAAACAGATTAAGTTTTTAACAAAACATCTCAATAAGGTTTTTTTTAATGGTTTATTTTTTGAACGACTGCTACTTTAGGCAAGCTGGAGGGTTTGGAGGAGAGGCTTTTCCAACTGACTCTGTTCAGACATGTCAAATGTGACATCTAGGCTCCCTGTTTTGGCGCTTCTGAAAAACGGCAAACGCAACATGCCTTGACCTGTTGATTAATGATTTAATCCTCATTGAGGTTCCACCTGTGACATGTAGTTCTCAGTAACTTGGCAACATGCCTGGAAAGTAGATTTATTTCAGTAATTTGGGTTCAAACGTGATTTTGTTTTTTAAAATATGCACTAATTACACATGGTGATAAAAAAAAGCAGTTTTTTAAAAATAATTTTGGCTCATAGATAAGAAGAAACGCAGCACCACCCATAAAATAGATTTTTTTCTAAAGAAAAGTAATGCTACTGAAGTAGTGCTAAGTAAAGAATACTTCTGTGCTCAGTACTTGGGTCTCGTTTTGGATAAATTATGGCATCAACTCTGTGTGTTATTCAGCCTGTGTTTAAAAGTTGCTTTTAAAGCAGACTTTAGATAATTTTCATTTCTGGGTCTAGTGTTTCTCATCCTCTACTGGACAATACAGCATAGTTTCTCTGATGGGTTCAGGTCAGGTGAGTTTGTCGGCTAATCGCACACCACCATCTTTCAGCAGATATTAGCAGGGAGGGAAGGGGTCAGCTTGGCTTGCCTGTTAGGGAAAGAATAAACTGCTCTAAAGTTTCCTGGTGAATAGGTCTCGGAGATGTTGATAAAACAGTGGTGTGCCTTCTCAAATGTCCTCCAGACTCTGGGGCTTTAATTTGCATCGGATCAAATAAATGCAAACTTGCTTCAACGTCAAAGCAGGAGTTGAAAACACAGTCCACTCCCTTATCTTGTGAACCCAGAGAAGAACACTCAGATGCTTCCTCTCGTTCAGCAGTGGCCTGACACAGGGAATGCTACAGGGGTAGTCCGTGCCTTGGATACTTCGATGTATGTCAACTATAGAAACTCTGATTCTAAGCCCTCTAAATTCCCACTAAACACCTAAATGAGCGCTGCTTCCAAATACTCCAAAGACTGCCTGTTGTTTGTGCATCTTTTTCTACCACTTTTTTCTTCCACTCATCTTTCCATTACCAGTTTTTAGGTCACTAGTATTCACCTTAGTTGCAAAGGCCATACAGTAGCATTATTATTAAAAAAGTCCTTACTTATTTGTTTTATGTATCCCAACATCTATGAGAAATTATTTGAAATGAATAGAAATGAAAAGGTCCATTAAGCAATCTTATTTTATATTAGGTATTCTGCAATTGAACAGTATTTATTTGCTTCCTAAATAATATAATAGTAAATGTAAAGTATAAAAAGAGTCACCATTAGTGGAAATTGTTGAATTCTGTAATTTTTCTAGACCAAAGCTAAACCTATAAATGTTTACAGTGTGGGTTCATAACTTATTTCCTCTAAAAATGTTAAGATAAAGAGGAAAGAATAAATATTAAAGCTTGTGTTTAAGGCTATATATATATGTATAAACATACCCTAGCTGTGGTTGTGAACATTTTGGATTGTCGTTGCCTATTAGATCCATGTGGAGTAAACAACAGAAGAAGGAATCAAAAGGGATTCTTGATAATACGTTTATTGCCATTGGGGTGCACTGGAGCTGTATCAAACCACTCCATTCAGAAATAATCCATTGGTCTCACAAGCATTAACTGCGTTTAGGTTAAAAGAAAAAAAAAAAAAAGTTCTTACATTCCGATTGCAACTGCAGAAAATCAGACATAAAGTACTTATTTAACATTTTGCATCATAACCACATATTTCATGCCGTTTTTACTAAGATGCTGGACAAACATGAAGTTGTGTTCAATTATGAAAGGAAATGGAAATTATGTATACTTCTATTTTCTACTTTCTATTTTCATGGCAAATAATCTGAAATATGCAGACCATCTGTATTCATTCTGAGTCGGTTCTTTGTGGAGTGACTTTTCACAGCAGCTGCAGCCACTAATGCTTAGAGGATGTAACTCTGCATGCTTTCTGCCTTTTTTCCTTTTGAAAAACAGCAGGAAGCATGGACATTAGTTGTCAACTCTTTCTATAGTTTTATAATCTAAATACTGACTATAAACACATGAATCCACTTCAATCTCTATCACTCTATTGTAGTGCTGACTTTATGCTTCTTGTCCATCTTGAACCTTTTGTCTGAGGCCTTTTCTCAAGCAAGTTTCCTTTTTCAGGATTGGCTTTTTTTTTTTTTTTAGCTCTATTATTAAATCTGTCCATACTCAGTAAAAACAAGCCCACAGCATGATACTGACACTACCCTTCGACACCATGAGGATTGTTTGTTTAGGTTGATGTGTAAACCAGTGCTAGTTTTCTATGTGTTGCATATTTGCCCTTTAGCAGACCTTTCACAGGTCAACTCTGTGAGTAGAAGATGAGTTTTCAAGATTATTGGTATCTGTTTGTTTTATTAAATACAGGCTTAAGTGGTCAGTTGCTTGCATTGAATATTACTAAAGGTTTTAGGGGAAAGAAGGACTAACTATAAAGATTCAAATTGTTTGGATGCATTTATGAAAAAAACAAAAAATTTAAGTATAATTTTCCTTCTTTACGTTGTGCATAAATCAATTAATAATTATAAACTACTTATGGCTTTAAAAGATGAAAATCAGACAGAAAGCTCAGAGTTTTAAAAACTATGACTGACCAGTTTGCTTGAAAACATTAACTAATCATGACCTTGTGTTGAGATGGGCTCTGGCCTCTAGGGCACATTTAAACAACACCATTATGACTTCAAGGTCTGTGAACAAAGGAGTCAGGAGGTGCTTTGTGGCCTTTACAGGTAAAAAACTGCTTTAATGGAGTCAGCAGTTTAGGATACACTCACACAAAAACATGCATGTACAATGCCCTATAAACAGAAATCGGATGTCCCCATAACACGAGGATCCTGGTGCGGTAACGTTTGTGACATTTCCTGTGTTTCCTGTCAGCTTTTCCACGTTCATTGATTTTCCCCCAGCATTAGAAACCGGATAGCAGTAAACAATATCTGAATTTCAAAAAGACCACTGGCTCCTGCTGCCATATCATTTACACATATTTGATTACACAAGATACGTATTCTGGTCTCAATGTGGGCGTCAGAGGTTACTACAGGACAAACGGGGATGATCACATGACCAGTTTTTTTTTTTTAAAGCATCTTCCTTTTTGCTTTCACAGGAAAAGGCATACCGCCAAAATAAAATTGCTCGATTGCTACAGAAATTACTATAGTTCGCTTTTTTCCCCCACCAACACTTAAAATGCGCAGATAGTGGTGGTCTCACTGAATGTGGGCTCTTTTCTTAAATGCTTGCCTCAGCTGTGTTTATGTGATTTCTGTTTCTTGTGTTTCTTCTTCTTTTTATCCTGTCTGTCCAGACTGTTGCTATGACGCCTCCTTTTCGGTTTACATTCGCTGCTGCTGTCACTGCTGCCGCTCTCTGACTCCTTTCTCTCCCTCTTTTTCTTCTTCTTCATTTTCTTTTCCTGCAGGATACATATAGAAGAACAACAGGAGATTTGTGAGGACAAACATTTCTTTCCAAAAGTATTCACACCCTGAGAAACTTTAATTAACATTATTATATGACAACCAGAGATAAAACCTAATAAAGTCTGAGCTTTCAACTTAACAAAATAAGAAAAAGCTCAAAGAGGTCAAAGAGCTCTGGCTGAAGAAGGAAACTTGATGCTGCAGATTTGTACAGAAGGCTGACAGCAGTTTCATTACCTTAAAACTAGGTCAAGTTTTTTTTGTAAAATCAGCATAAAACAGGAGTTCTCATTATGCTATTGCGACTGACGTGTAGTTTTCACTCGAGCGGCCAGACAGTGAGGTGAGAAACAGCAAAGGAAAAAAAAAAAAGGAAGCAGAGCCAGTTTTGTTTGGTTGAACATTTTCACCTTCTTTTTCTTCTTCTTTATGTCTGAATCCTGCTGTGGTCTTTGGCTGGCTGTCTGCTGCTGCTGTTGTGTCTCTTCATTGTCCTCTTCTGGCACAAGAGCGTACTGCAAGCCCGGAGCTGAGAAACAATCCTTTGTAAAGTGACCTAAAAAGAGTCCTGTGTTATTTTAGACTGACTTCAAATCATATCATCTTTAACTATTACAGTTATGGTCTCAAAGTATTTTTTTTTTCATTATTTAACCATTTATTTTACAGTACAGCACCTTTGCAGCCACACTTTGAACACGTTGTGTTGAGCACAGCCTCCAGAGTGATCCTGTTGTTGGTATGATCTTTGAACTGCCTTCGTCGCCTCGCATCCTGACTACAGACACAAGCGCCTGATTAAAAAAAAAACTTTCCTGAGCAGAAACACACATTAAACTGTTTGCACTTACTCTGCCATAACATTGTTTGGGTCCAAGTCCTGTCCGGTCCCCTGATTTACAGCCTTCATGGAGAAGGAAAGCTTCACTTTGTCACCTTGAATCTAACAGACAAAAGGACAACAGTGATTGTTCTGTGATGTAACTGGATGCACATGCCACACTTATATGTTTAGGGCTTTTTATTTTTTATCTTTACCTCTCGCCCAATTACTTTGATCCACACTTGTTCCCCAACATCAACGATTTCAGAGGGGTTTTCAACTCTGGAGGCAGACATCTCGCTCACATGAACCAAACCTGTTTGTATTGGAGTTAAAGGTTTTCACAGCATGCAAAAGAAAGCCAACAAAACTAACTAACAGGATAAAGATAAACAGCTTTACGTAGTAATTAAAAGACCTAATACTTTTGGGCTTTGAAACCATGAATAAATATTTTGGTAGATCAATCTTTTTTTGTGTGTGACTCATTACTAAAACCTAACTATTGCTGAGAGTGCCCTCTAGCGGTGAAAAGTATTTGTGTTTTTTTCTCCACGGTTGCTAATGATCAGATTTCATCATATAACCAATAATCTATGAACATCAGAAAACTTCCAGATTGAAACTATCATGCATCTTCATGATCCTTTTTCAAACATACAGGATACATGTTATTGGTTAAAGAGGACTGATTTAATTAACATATTAAGTTAATTCTTCCTGAAAATAACCACATTAACAAAATGAAGATGGATCATGTTGACGTAATGCATTCATACACTGACTGTTTAGACAGAGGATTTTCCAATAATACTTCCCCTAACATCTAAGAGCACTCCAATTTATATCTCTACCTGCGCTTTTAATTCTTTCCTCTGCACTAACTCTAACCCTAAATCGTAAACATTTCTTTTACTGCCTGCTTTTCATATATTGGTTTTCTACTTTTGAGGATCTTTGCAAACCGTTTTTATTTTTTATTTTTACAAACCTTGTTTCCTGTACCCTGGCAGTCGGATGAATGCTCCATAACTTTGCACAGAGACTACCTCTCCTTTGGCAATGCTGTGCAGCGGAGGTAGACCGTCCAATCCCACCGGCTCATGACCTCGCCCGCCTCTGTCAGACATTGTTTGAGCAGGGGTAGACAACAGCTCTCTGATGTAAGATCTGGTGGACAGAAAAACATGTCTTAGGGTTTGCAGCATTATTAGATGCAAGGAAAGAAACTATGTCATGTAACAGAAGGCACGTGTAACAATATCGGATTTTTTTTCTCTGTTTCAGGTAGAAGATTAATTTAACAAGCTAGAGAAGTTTAAAAAGAATTAAAGTATTAGACCATTAAATGAGAGGAAAATCTAACCGTCAATTTGAGCAACAAGGGGAATAAAAATCCACTTTCACAATAACATATTTTTTGTTTTTAAGGTTAATAAAAGGGGGAGGGGGAGGTTGAACATGTTGATAGAGGAAAGAGGTCCAGAAAAACGCTTGTTACTTTTTATTTCTCTTTCTGTCAGAACTCTTGAGAAATTATCATAACCCACTTGTAATTTAACCAATAATGTCTTTAGAAAATCATTTTCATACACTGGCTTTTTTTCTCCAGAGAACATGATATTTAGGCCATTCTTTTGCTTTCTATTGTTAATTACATTGATTGTATATTGCTCACTAAATTATCCTCTAACTTTATTCATCTGTGAAGCACTTTGGGTACCTTATAATTTGTCAAGCACTGTCTAAATATCTCTAAATTCATTATCCAGATCTTAAGTCTGAGCAACAATTAAAATGTTTAGAGCTGTTTTAACAGTGACTTAAAATGATGGAAGAGGACCATTGTATTTTTTTCACCATTGTCACCCTTGGTGCACAATGGAATAGATGGCTCCAAAGAAAAAGTCCAAAGCTACTAAACCTAAGCATATCATCCTATGTTAAACACGGTGGTGGCATAATCATGCTGTGTAGATACTTCTCTTTAACAGTGAGATCAGACGATGTGAATAGTTTGCAGGAAGATAGATGCCACTAAATAGGAGGTTTGTTCGAGACTAGATGGTTGGTCAACCAGACCTCTTAACTTAAAACTTCCTACAATAAAACTGGGGGAAGTTTCAAAGAAAAATGCTTATACCATGATGGCAAAGTTAAAATTGCTATCAATTCAATACAAGTGGGCTTATTGTATTTTGCAAATAGAAATGGACAAAAATCCAAGTCTCTGGATTGAAAAACCTCACATAGAACCAGCTGAAGATTTAACAAAAACCATGCTTCACATGTTGGGCTACCTAATGATGTGCTGTCACATAAAACCCCCAAGACAATACATTGGGACATGTCATTCTAAGGACACCTAACATAAAAGCTGTACCATTATACGCTTGAATTTATCATACAAAAATAAATAAATAAGAAAGAAAAAACACAAACCGAACACACTACTATTTCTAAGACAGTTAAACGCAAGGGGCCATATTGCGGTAAAAAAAAAAAAAAGCAAACAAAAACATCCTTATCTTAAAATTGTTAAACCGATAGTTATTGTTGAGGCGGGTTAATTGGTTATAAAATAACAAACTAACCTCGTTAGGACAATATACGTACAGAAAATGTTGTCAGTTTTACCTTTCGCTTCAACTAAACTGGTTTTGTTTCACTTCCGGTGCAAATCCATCCTTACGGGCAAACTGGCCAATCACCGTCGCCGCCTAAAACATCGACCAATCATAAGCCTTCTATAGAACGGAAGTAGTTCCGCACTCTTTCTTCTTCGTCGCCTCCTGCTTCCGTTGATATTTTCTTAGTTTTACAAAGCCCATTCATTTGTGGGAAGGTACTTTAGCTTTCTTTTAAGGATTTTCTGTCCCCCTTTGGTTGACTCGGGATGATTGAACCGATGAAGAGAGCCGCCGACATGGCGGTGGTTCCCTCCGCCATGAAGCGGCCCCGGATGGAGCTGGTGGCGGCGGCTCAGTCCCAACAGCTCGTGGCCACGGTACGGACCCAGCTCCTGTTTACCTAAATCTGCTTATTTGATCTAAATAAGTAGAATTCAGATAACTTCTAGACATATATAGGACAATTTATTTAGGTTCTACATGTAGTAGATAATACCATAATACACTTTCCTCTATACAAGTATTTATACCATAATTCAGTCTCTAGCTAATATTTCAGAAACCTTGTTTATTTTATATGGAGAAGGTGTAAGGCAATTTTGAAATGTTTAATTTTAGAGGTGGGATTTGGGTAAAGATACACTTTTTGCAGCTTGGTGGCGAGGTAAAAGTTGATTTGAGAAAGAAGTGGCATAGGTTGCTTTATTTAGTGTTCTCCTTTGGTGAGGATCAAAATGATCAACACAGCCCTTCAAGTATAGACAAAAATATGTTATTACCTAAAGTGTGAAATAGTAAAATGATTATTTTATACAACGTGATTTAATGAAATGTAAGTTTTCTGAAATTGTAATCCCACTTAATCTCCTCCAAAGATATAAGTATAAGAGGTATTCCTCTGTTTAATGCTGCACTTTATAACAAGTTTATTACATAGCACTAGTACAGGCATGTCCATTTTGCAGCTGCTATATCATTGGAACTTAATGTATGCATATATCAGGTAGTATCTGATGTTAAAGGTATGCAGAAACTGTAGATCTTTGTTCTCCCACAGGGCCCTCCACGGACCTCCAGCCTGCAGGCTCCCATCATGCTGATGTCAGGCCATGAGGGAGAGGTCTACTGCTGCAAGTTTCACCCCAACGGAGCCACGCTGGCCTCTTCAGGATTTGACAGACTCATATGTAAGTCATGGCCAAAGTTAAATGACTACTGATCCCTGTTCAAGTAAATAATTGTTTACTTTGGTGCTTTGCTGCAGTGATGTGGAACGTCTATGGAGACTGTGATAATTTTGCCACTCTGAAGGGACACAGCGGAGCCGTAATGGAGCTGCATTATAACACGGATGGCAGGTATGGACAGAAGATTATCCCTTCTGGGGAAGAAAAATCCATGTTGAATATCAGAAATATATTTCTTTGCTACCTCACACACATCCTACAAGATATAAACTTTTTGGTTTGCTCAGTGAGCACTTAGATTTTTACTAGTTTACCCTTCTTGTTTGGTTCTGACCTCATATTTAGATATAGAACCTTGATCAGTTCCTATTCTAGCATTAATATATCTTTATGTTTTTTAGCTTGTTGTTCTCGGCAAGCACAGACAAGACTGTGGGGGTGTGGGACAGTGAGACAGGTGAGAGGATCAAGCGTCTGAAGGGCCACACTTCCTTTGTGAACACCTGCTACCCTGCTCGGCGGGGGCCCCAGCTTGTGTGCACTGGCAGTGACGATGGGACCGTAAAGGTGGGTCATTAGTTTTAATGAATTCATATTATATATCATTCATTAAATAATCAAATGGCATACATCCAGATCACAGATCTGCTTTTGTAAAGTTGGTCATAAATTTTCTATTTTGTTTTTTTTTTTCTTCTTCTTATCACACTGCAGCTTTGGGACATCCGCAAGAAAGGGGCCATCCACACTTTTCAGAATACTTACCAGGTGCTGACTGTGACCTTCAATGACACCAGTGATCAGATTCTGTCTGGTGGGATTGACAACGATATCAAGGTAATGCAGTCAGAGATGCAGGGACTGTGACTGCTTTTGTTATTAAACATTAGTCTGCTTCCTAATAAACTATTTTCAGTTTACCAGCTGTTTTAAACCAGTGGTTAGCCCTCCATTAGCTGCCACATGGTGGCTGCTTTCACATCAACTCTTTATAACACCTTTAATAGAGCCAAAGTCCAATTTTTGGTGAAGATCAGGCTGCTTTTTTTTTTTTTTGTTGTTTTCTTTTTTTTTAACCAGGAGCCCACAGCAAACTCTGTAGTGTTTTGCTTATTTCCACACGTTGTCAAACCCTAAGCAGGAAGATAGGATGTGATGTTAGAACAGTGAATTTGAGTAGAAAGAGAAGAACCAAAGCAAATTAAGGTCAACTCAGGGTATGAATGTTTGAAAATTTCTCCTGGACCTGCCGTGAGTAGTGAAGAGGTGCAGACAGTGAACTGCATTTAAACGCCAAGGTAATGACAGACACTACTTTTCCTTATTCAGTGCAATTCAGCCTCCCAAAGTTATACGTTTTAGCTGCATGACGCTTTTTGCCCCGATGTGAACACCTCCTTGTGGAAGCAAATCAGGCCAAAGGAAAGGGGGATTTATCTCATTTTATTCATTCCCTGGACCAGACCAGAGGCCTGTACCGCAAAGCAGGATCAGTGGGCTAGTGAGACGACTTTGTGTTTAACCCTGTCTTTCTGGTACCATGATGCTGAATTCATTCTTAGCAAGGCTAGTCACTATGCTAACATACTCTGTACATACTAGCCTTGAGGATTGATCCGAATCTAAGATGAGGTGATTTAATTCAGAGGGAAAAAGATCTTAAAACAACATCACAATAAAGGAAGTTAAAATTCTAATAGCAGTTAAAACAAAAAATGTTCTTGACAAATTTAATAGTTTGTTTATTTTTCCTTAGTCTCCTTTTTGACATACCAACTTTTACTATTCTTTGTGTGTTTTCTCCTGTAAAATGCCCTTTTTACACAACTTACATTCACTTGTTTCTTGTATAATTGATATATGAAGATAATTAAAGAAATGTATAAAAAAATCGAAGCGCACATTGTGAGAGGATCCTTTGGATCACTATGACAATTACTTAAACGAGCGATAACAGGTTTTTACTGGCTGGACTGGCATATATGCCAGATCCTGGAACCGACTGTATGTTTATTTTATCTGCTCCGTAGTCCTCTTCACTCCAGAGGGGAACGCAATTGATATGCAGGACATTTATTGGGATGCAGGCTGTGTTAAATTACACTGATGTGTACCGTGCTCATTTACGGAGACAGCAAACCTTTGCCACTTTATTTGGCGTCTCTTTCATGCCACCATGTTTGACTTTTTCATCCATTTTCCATCACACTTATCCAAAGCAGGGTCACGAGGGGTGCTAGTGACTATCTCTAGCTGTCAATGGGCGAGAAGCGGGGTACACCCTGGACAGGTCGCCAGTCCAGTGCAGACTGTGTTTAACTTCCATGTTTGATTTTTTATTGAGACTTTTCTCTTTGTATTTCTGTAAAATGAGTTCTGTTCCTCACAGGACATACGGCGCTCTATCTTCTACGCTCTTGGTTGTAATTGGTCAGCTACCATGAACCCGCCCCTTTATAGGTGCGTGTTCTCAGATTCATGATCATTTCAAGCTGGATTGAGTTTGCGAGGTGATAATCAGCTTTGTGGTACAGCTGGATAGGCTGGAAGTAATCCTGCTAGGTTGGGCTCGCTTCATGGTCCGAGCCTCTGTAGTTCGAACACACCAAACAACTATTTACGTTTGGTTTTTTTTTATTTATTTTTTTGTGACTGGAAATATTTCCATCTGGTTATGTTAGCATGGAGCAAATGTGGTGACCTTATTTCAGCCAGAAATGAAGAAGAACCTAATTTACTGTTTTGTAGAAGCAGCCAAAGGAATCTCTGGTGACTCAGACACTTTCTCAGGGATCTCACAACGGGCTTAATATTGTAGGATGCAGGTCATGGAGAATGGCTTTACAATTGTAACTTTTTTAACATTTTAAAGTCGAAGGGAATACTTTGACATTAGCTAATTTCCTTCTTTATTTTGCTTTCTGCTGCCCTGGACGTTGCAGCAAACTGTGAGCTTTAAAGTACCTTTTAAAGAGAAACTTAAATGGTTTTATGGTTAAATAGAAACAAGTTGGAGGATAAAACAGGATAGATATTAACTTAAAGGGGGTGAGTATTTATGCAATCATTAAGGATATAATTATTTGTAATTAATTGAAGTTGCTTTGTAAAAATCACTTTGCACTTTGACGTGACAGGATTCTGGGTTCGGCCAACTTGATTCAGAAAATGACCATAAGCTTTCTGTTCCCTCAGAAGCAGCATCTTGTTCACCCCTTGCTCTGATGTTCTATTTATATATTTTAACCTGTCCTCTGTGAAAACTCAATCTCATCTCTTTCGTCGTGCAGGTGTGGGATCTGCGGCAGAACAAGCTGATCTACAACATGCATGGCCATGGCGACTCTGTGACGGGACTCAGCCTGAGCTCTGAGGGATCGTACCTTCTGTCAAACTCCATGGATAACACTGGTACTCTAGTCTTTTACGTGTCTCACTGTGCTATTTGATGGATGGAGGAATTCTGGGGTTTTTTTAATCTATGTGTGTCTCTGCAGTGCGAATCTGGGATGTCCGACCGTTTGCACCAAAGGAAAGATGCGTGAAGATTTTCCAGGGTAACGTTCACAACTTTGAAAAGGTAATCCCGATTCAGCAGTAGGAAAATTGACCATGAGGAGATTTTATTTGCTTCAACTCTGCTTCTGTGAGTGACTAAAATAGCTTGATGCTAGTATTGCCTGTTGAATGTTTTGTTGTTTGTTCAGAACCTGCTGAGGTGCTCCTGGTCCACTGATGGCAGTAAGATTGCAGCCGGATCTGCTGACAGGTAGGAAACAATCCTGACACATAGAGCAGCTATTTATCTGTATCATCAGAGTAAAGTGCAGCTAAAGAGGCATTTTTCAGTAAGCTCAACATATTTTACAGCAATCTAAACTACATACTTTGCTTCGTCTTATCCCCATTTCTCTTCTTTATCCAATCTTTTCAATACTGTTTTTTCTATATTCCACATTTAATGAGGTCCTCAGTCATAAATATTTACATTACGCAAATTCAGTTAAATTCAAAATACCTCATTGATAAATAATATAAAATATATGGAAGTAGCTCTTAAGATGAGAGGTGAAATATAATCTTAGTAAAAGCAGTTTTTGGATACTTTCTTTGTTTAACTGACCTTAGATACAGACATAGAGTTTTAATAGCTGTAAATATGCCAAGATGAGACCATGATACCTTTTAATTACCTCCTGTATATCTGGGTTTAACAACAAGCTCAACTATTGGATTAAGAAACATATTAGAAATAACAGAATCTCCTATACCAAGATTATATTTGTGATCACAAGGTATATAAATTACCAACATCATAGTATAATATCGCATTGCTTTTTTTTTTTTTTTTTGAATGACGATACTAAGTGTGTCAAAATCTAACATATCGGTTATCTGTCTGGATTATAGTGGCTGGCATCTAAAATCTCCAATAATGAGACGCCCCCTGCGAGGGCATGCACAAGCCCATTTCTACTAGTTCAATCTCTTTTTAAAAGTTGCTCGTTGAATCGCTCATATAAGCTTACTTTCCAAAAGATTTGCAATATTTCCACTATGTCAGACTCACCACCGGGAAGTGAAAATGGGGACGAACACGCAGGACGGCCTTATGTAAACATATCATCAGAATGATTTACAGTTAGGAGGACTGCTTATTTTTATGATCCACCCAGAAAAAGAACATCCTTCACTGCACCTTTAATGTTAGGAAAATTAGATAAATTATAAGGGGCAGGCAGAATAATCAGACCAAGAAAAAAGCATTAACAGATTTTTTTTTTGTTTGTATTTGTTTCCAGATTTGTGTACATCTGGGACACCACATCCAGGAGAATCCTCTACAAGCTGCCGGGTCACGCCGGCTCTGTCAATGAGGTGGTTTTCCACCCAGAGGAGCCTATAGGTAAGCTACTTTGGGGCAGGGATCTCTAAAGTCTTAATATTGTTTCTAAATAGATGAACTCTGTTGATTTTTATGGGCCTGTGTATCTGCTTTCTCTCTGCAGTGCTGTCAGGCGCCAGTGATAAACGCCTGTACATGGGAGAAATCCAGTAGAGTGTGTGTGTGTGTGTGTGTGTGTGTGCATGTATATTTGATTGTACAGTATGTGTGTTTGTGTGAGGCCTGCCTGGAAGTGTTTTATGGGGACAGACTGAGATGGGAGTTCACTTCACATGCTTCATCTGGCCTCAGAACAACCTCAGGATGAACTTTAGTACCATTACACAGAAACCTAAAAAAAGAGCAGTTTTTGATTTGTTTTTTAACTCTGATTTTTTTTTTTTTTATAAACTTTGGTATCCAATAAAAACAGCTTTTTTCATATTTAATCTCTGGTATTTTAATTTGAAGAAGGGATGTTTTCATCTGTCCTGGTTAACATTTTAAATGGCTATTTTTTTTAGAAGGGAATAAAAAAACAATTTTTCCTCCCCCCCAATTTGTTAAAGAGCATTAAAATAAGTTACAAACATGGAAACTTATAGAATTGGTAATGTTTTTTGTTTTAAAAGGATTTCTATTTTGAGCCATGTGTTTTTTTTCAGTCCATCTCCATGCACTATGTACCGATTCCTGGTTCCCAGACTCTCTTGGCCTTGGAAGAGATCCTGCTGCTTTTCCCATCGGTTACAGCCTTCCTATCAGATTAATCCTTCACTGATTATGTGATTAACAGTGAGGACAGTTCTATTAATACATAGAGAAAAAAAAAAAAGGAAAGATCCATTATATGATGTAAATGGAAGATTTGGGGAAATGCCAGCCTAGTGTCAGAACCATGTGGTGATCTCTCTCCAAAGCTGTCCATCTCTGTCCAACATTCTCACCACATAGTCAAGCTTTTTTCCAGACTGGGTTGGACCCCGCCAAGGCTACTCCTTGTGTCTAATCCGGTTTGTGGTGTTGGGTTTAGGAACATCAGGGTCACAGCTTCTGCAGATGATGTGGTTATGTTGTGTTCAGGCATTGTATGTCAGTGTCTACTGGAGCAGTTAACACACAAGTTTACATAGATTGTTACACACATTTGGTGAAAATGTCATGTCAATAGCACCTCTAGAACTATATTTACTAAGATAAATGGTGGCGTGTACAGTACTTTTTTTACCCGCTGAATAGGTCCACTAACTTATTACAAGATTGTAGAAACCTCTGATGCTAATTAGTGGACAGACCTTGATTGAACATGTCCCTTTAGACACATTATTTCCAGTCTTTTCTAGAGGTACCATCATTTTTGTTCAGGCCTGTTTCACAAGTTTAATTTTTAAAACCGTTATAAAATGTTTATTATTACTTTTGTTAATTCAAGTTTTTTCTGTGACTTTTTCTCATATTAACTGAGGGGTACCAACCATTTTGTCCATGTGTGTATGTATGTAACATGCTTTTTTACTTACATGGGGCCCATATGATTAGGAGACAGGCTTAAAATAGGTCCCATGGTCCCATGGTAATTATATAGGTTTGATGCAGGATGGCTGTGGAAAGAAAAAATGTCCGACCTTTATGGATCCTGATGTTCAGAACTGAGTTTATTTTGGGAATGCCTGTTGGAGACAAAACTAAGACCTATTGGTTCTACATGCATGGATGGTTTGTCTTTAATCATCCCAAAGAGAGTATTAGGAGTGTTTGTTATCAAGCAACTTTTTTGAATGTGGCAGGTTAAACTGAATAGAAATAAACTGTCTACATATTCAGTTTAAGAACAATAGAATAAAAGTATATTTATTTACTGTACTGGGTGTAAAAGTGAAAATGTGCAATTAAACAACATGAAAAAGAACAAATTGAACTTAACAGCCAATGTGGAAAACATCCTGGAAAGGAAAACGATGCAAGGTTCCTACTAAAAATGCTTACCGTATATCAGTAAAATTTGAGTAATGCTCCGGTTAGAAAAGAAATAAAAACAGCAGCTGTTCTACAGAGAGATGGAAAAACTGCTACGTAAAAGCATGATTGCAGAAATAAAGCAGTGTCCAGAGCAGCTAAAAAACTGCAAATATTCATTATTGTCGTTAATGAAATGCAGATAAAAGGCATGTTGTGGAAAAACACTTATTCAGCAAATTAGGAAGAGTAGAAATAATGAAAAAAAGCAGTTCTTGATCAGATAATTAAACTGCAAATAATACTGATTGTACACATGTTGAAAAATGGGAGTAGTGAGGATTTTAAAATCTAATAGCCGAGGTAGGAAAGATCTGTAGCGGTGCTCCTTTGTTGACTTAGACATTTTTAATGAGTAAAGATAAAACAGAACATGATTTTTTCCATCCACCCCTCATAATACAGAATCATTGGCTGCTGTCATGGTTACGGAGAGACAAACTACCCTCACCTGCGCTGCTCTCTTTCACCAATGTTTAACCTTTCAAAAATACAAATGTGAGAGCAAAGTAAACCAGGATGAGGAAAATGATGACATATGTTGTGTTCTCAGCAGCTGTTCAGTGACACTTCAGGATTCAGCAGGACTCACATCCCAAACATCAGTCCTTTCTGGTTTGGAATATTATGTTATGGTTTTTCTGGTGATTGTTTATGTGGAGTTCATAATAACTTACATCATATTTTTTATATTGATTTATATTTTATATATATATTTGTATTTATATATTTAATTAATGCATTCATTAAAAGTAAACATAACAAAACCTGTGCAGGTGAGAACTGAATGAAAGGAGCAGAAAGAATTAAAAACATATATTATCTGCCCCCATTTTCAATAAAGTATTATTTATTCAACATATATAATTACAACCATACAAGAACAAAAAATATCATCATGTAGATCAATAAACAGAAAGCAAAAAATAAAATAAATACCAACTATACATCAGCCTATCCACTGTCATATGGACTCGTCAAAATGACCTTCAACTTCAACACCTTTAACAGAAATACATTGTTTCATCATCATTGTTGTGTACTTGGATTTTTTTGAAAATATCTGTTCCTTCTAGGTTATACTATGTCTCTTTTCGAAAAATCTGTATTGAATATTGTTTGGTACTTCTTTATGCACTTTAGACATGAATTTAAAAATATATGATTAAGTTTTAAGGGGTAATTAAGTTTCAATGTATTTAACTGAATAAATATCTGATTTGTGTTATCTCTGTTTCAACTTATAACTCTTATGGCTCTCTTATGTAATAAAAAGAGAGGTTTTAAATGTGATCTATACAGAATGCGCAAGGCTTTTTCATTTAGGAATTCCTTTATCTAGCTTTAAACAGCAATAGTTTTCAATATTCTCAGTTTTGTATGATCTATGTGAGGTTTCCATGTCAATTATTCAACAAGAACACTAATAAACTACTGTTTGTATATGTTGTATGTAAACATTATCAAAATATATATATTTTTTTTTTACAACTAAAAATATGAATTTGTTAATATTTATTTATTCTTATTGTAAGGAATAAATAGGCAGAGATCAATGATGGAAGAGTTATCAATAAAGTTTAATGACATTGAGATTAATGCAGATGAGTTTGCTGCTTTTTCATAGCTCTCACAATAGAGCTTTATGAGCATTCAATTATTTATTAATGTTTAATTATTAATGTAATTTACCATATACTGTATTTAAATAGTTCTTAATTACACCCTTCACCCTGTGCCCGTTAGTAGATATTAGAGTAGACATGTATAACTGTGCAATAACTGGCTTACCCACAGACTCAAAAACTAAGGTCTTTTAGAGAGCAGGGGGTGCTCATAAAGACCTTCTATGACTCTGTCATGGCATCAGCAATCTTCTATGGAGCTGTCTGTTGGAGCAGTGGCTTATCTGTAGCTGTAAGGCCAGCTCTGTGATTGGATGCTCTCTGGACTCAGTTTAGGAGGTGGGAAACAAAAGGATCCTAACTAAATTAACATCTCTGTTGGAAAATGTCTGCAACCCCATGAATGAAGCTGTTGCAGAGTTCCTTCAGTGACAGACTGCTGCACCTTAAATGCACCATGGAGCGTTATCACAGATCCTTCTTTCCAGCAGCTGTAAGACTTTATAACCATCACTATTCCCAGCAACCTCAATAAGTTGTTACAGTCATGCTGATTTTGCATTTTCTGTCTTGGTTACTTAAATAACATGTTGCTGTCATTTTGCACATCTCTGCTGTTGCTACTATTTTCAAATGTCCATTACTGTATAAATGTCCACAGCTGTATATTGGTTATTTATTCTCCAGGTGCACAATATTTATATTGTTAAAACACTTTACAGTACAGTATTTTGTTTATCTCTTCACTATCGTGTATTCTTATACACTTTTCTAAGGTCCACATTTGTGTGACCATTTTTCCTATATTTTTTTGCTGCTGTAAACACCAGAATTTCCCCATTGTGGGACAATGAATTGATTTTCTATGCTATTCTATCCTATTCTATTTTTCTTCTATCCTATGCTAACCTATTCTAATATATCCTTTTCTATTATATTGTATTTTATTCTATTCTATTCCATTCTATTCTATCCTATTATATTCTATTTTATTCGATCCTATTCTATTGTACCCTATTGTATTCTAACCTACTCTATTAAATCCTATTCTATTCTATCATATTACATTCTATCCTATTCTATTTTATTCTGCCCTATTCTATTCTATTCTATTCTATCCTATCCTGTTCTCCTATCCTATCTATTCTATTCTATCCTATTCTGTCTATTCTATTCTATCCTATCCTATCTATTCTATTTAATCCTATCCTATTCTGTCTATTCTATTCTATCCCATCCTGTCTATTCTATTCTATCATACCTTTCTATTCTATTCTATCCTATCATATTCTGTCTATTCTATTCTATCCTATCCTATTATGTCTATTATATTCTATCCTATCCTATCCATTCTATTCTATCCTATCCTATTCTGTCTATTCTATTCTATTCTATCCCATCCTGTCTATTCTATTCTATCCTACCTTTCTATTCTATTCTATCCTATCATATTCTGTCTATTCTATTCTATCCTATTATGTCTATTATATTATATCCTATCCATTCTATTCTATCCTATCCTATTATGTCTATTATATTCTATTCTATTCTATCCTATCCTATCCTATCCATTCTATTCTATCCTATCCTATCCTATTCTGTCTATTCTATTCTACCCTGTTCTATTCTATTATATAAAGCCTTAGGCAAATTTAATATGCTGAGGTTTGGGGTCTATTCTCTCTTAGTATCCCAAAGTAAACAAATAAGAAACTTTATGAGAGGTAAGGAGGTTGAAGGTTGGGGGGGGGTTGAAGTAGAGTGTTTCCACCCACTCCCCCCTGTGCTTTTTAAACGCCTCTGCAGAATCCTCCTGGGGGGGGGTTGTGAGCCCCCACCCCCTTATCTCGCTCCCTCTCTCCCCCCGGCTCCTCGTGCGCTCGCCCCAGCTCCAATTGTTGACAAAAGACGCTGCGAGACGGAGGAGGCCAGAGCCGGTGCTGGTGAGTCGATCTGCCCGTTAACTTCTCTTCCTTCCCACCACCAAGGCAGCGGCTCCAGCAGAGCGGGATTCCGCCCAGAGGGACGATCGCTGGGAATCCCGCCGTGGAGGCTGCTTTGTGTCCGCCGTTAGCCGTTGGTACCAATGCGGGGTCGGTCCCCTCCTCCCCGCTGCCCCCCTCCGTGTGATCCGGTATCATATGATGTTCATTTGAGTCTGTAGCCCCGGGCAGATAGTGACAGCTTTCAGTCTGTCTTTGTGCCTTTGTGTCCCTCTCTCTCTCCGGAAGGTGTGGCCGAGGTGATTGGGACCAAACAGCAGCAGCAGCAGGCCGGTGTGAAGCGGACTCCCCCCTCAGTCACCTCCTTCCTTCTCCTCACCTCTTCTCCATTATCCGCTAAAAAGAAAAACATCCTCCAGACGGGAAATTCTTAGACAAATCGGATGATAGAGATGCGAGTGTGAGTGGAAACGCCGGAGGAAGCGGCGGCGGCCTCGTGCGGCTCTGTTTATCCCGGGAATGGTGTGAGCTGAGGCGTCCGGGCAGTCTGGATCTGACCGGGGACTCATCGTTTCCCCGGAGCCTCCGCGGCTCCAAGCCGCGACCCGAGCCCTCCAAGATGGGGAAGTGTGACGGCAGATGCACGCTGTTAGTGATCTGTTCACTGCAGCTGGTAAGAGAGCATGCTTTTATACAGAGGCGGTCCAAGGCTGCATGGGGCCCTAACCCTAACCTGCACGAATGTTCCTGTTAAATTACTCATGTTAAATCCTTGCATTTAATTTACATGCAACATAAAGATATAAGTATGTAACTGATTTAATAAATAATAAAATAACTACAGCTAGATGCTTCTGATAAAATATCCTAATATTGATATTTGATTAATCTAGAATATATGTATACATTTGCAGGCTTTCAGCAGGTCATTAAATGTCAATAGATTATTATTTTTTCCAATTAAGGCCTTAATTGGCATTAAAATGCATTCAGTGATTATCATGGCACGTAAAATGCTTTATTTTCGTCAGGTATATCAGATATAAATGGTTCTGCGTGTTTTCGTGGATCTGCTTTTGGTTGATCGTAAAGCCGTATGATCGGAAAAGAAGCTTGAGGCGGAGAAAAAGCTAGAGAATGGGAAAATGTAAATTTCAAGAAAAGTGGCTGCAAAACGAGGAATTCAGGACATAGTCAACTGTAAAGATGATGAGGGATTTTGCCGTGTTTTATATATATATATATATATATATATATATATATATATATATATATATATATATATATAGGTACTTGTTGATGGCATTAAAATTATTTCTAAGGGCATTAAAAAGCATTAGATTAGATTTGCTCATTCCTGTATAAACCCTGTTATGATAACGTGAGACACTAATCAAAATCAGATTTACAAACGCATTAAATCAGGATAAAATTAAATGCACTCACTCCATAGAATATATTTTTCACCTAATTATTCACACAATTTTGCTAATTAGCCTGCAAATCATATTTGATATTTTTGTAATTGCTGGATCAGTCTTTTAAAAGATGTTCCTTTTAAAATTAATTCATTTTTTATACTCAATTTATGTAACCAATCTAAATAGGACTTTGTCGTCATCTTGGACTTTTAGCTAACACTGGCATTTGGTATCTACTTAGATGGTCCTAATAAGGGTACAAAAAAGATATATTTTTGATTAGATAGATATAAAAAGATGTACATTTTTAAAGATGCAGGGGTCTTAGAAGTCCATTTTTGTTTATATTCTTTCTGTTGCCACCATAGATATTCTATATAAAGTCACTTTTTACACAGTAGAGTAATATATTTTGTACTTAAAAAAAGGATGTACCATTATAAAACACATATTTATGTGTAAAATTTGATATCAAGGAAACTAGTTTTGTTTTGCATGATTACAACAGATAAATCACCCTTGTTGGTTAAGGAGCCCAAAATCAACTGCTTAGTTCACTCTTTGCCCTGGGCCGGCCATGTTTTAATACATGCGTGTGTTTGTGTGTCCACAGCTGAGGCTGCCTCTCTAACCACCAAGATATAATTAGTGTGGCGTGCTACAGACACACACATTGTAATCAGACATTTTTGTCCAGGCTCCCTGTACAGTCACACACTCACACACACACGCAGCTTTGAGCTGCAGCTGCTGGGGCGCCATGCCACATTAGAGGAGAGGCTGTGGTTCCCTGAAGGAGAGGGAACAGGGTAGCCTCAGCATGTTGGTGTAGGCAAAAATCACGTGAATCTTAAGATGAGCGTGTAAATAATTGTATCGGCCCCTAAAGGAATAGAATTTGGGGCCACAGTGTCTGTAGAGGTAACTTGGAAGCACCACAACACTATTTGTGTTTCATTTAAATCATCCAAGATGTTTTATATGGGGAACCTTTGCATTCCTAGATTCCTAATTCCTTAACACAGCATCCCGAGCACTGTTTTAACTGATGTAATAATAAAAAAAAAGAAGAAAAAAAGAGAAAATAGTGATTAACAGTCTGAGAATTGTGCAGAATAGATTATTTCTAACTGTTCAGAATATAAAGACCCACTAAACTAGAGACAATAGATAATTCAAACAGTTTGAGTTTTCTCTAAAATATCTTGATTTTAACCCCTTAGGTTAAGCCCAGCTACTAGTTTTTCTTTCAGTTAACTTGTAGCCAACAGCTGCAAAACCAGACTCAACTGATGTCTTATGTATACCATTGTTGCCTGTTGATGCATTTTCAACGCATACTAAGGATCATATCGGATGCACTTTGCTGCCACCTAGTGGTTAAGATAATTGTATGCCCAGTTAGTGGCTAGCTTCCAATAGAAATAAAGGTTAGTAGCTGTAGAGCTGCATTCAAATGACAGATTCCTGCAGAATTTTATATGTATTTGAGAGGGAAAACGGCATTTAAGTTTATATAATTGCAAAGTAGTAAGGTGGTAAAGACTAATAAAGGTTTCAGAAGAATGACCTGCTGAGAAAGTTTCTAGAAACCCTGTTAGAGCCGCTCATTGTGGCCATTGTTTGCTGTGCTGATGAGTTTCTGTACAGCACAGGGGTTTGGCCCATAGATTCTCATTAGTTTGGCTCTTCTTTGTTTGTTTGTTTCTTTCTTTCTTTCTTTCTTTCTTTCTTTCTTTCTTTCTTTCTTTCTTTTTGTTGTTGAATGGGGTGGTCCTCTTAATAGTCACTGGACTGGCTGGTGCTCCAGGCAGTTTCCATGGTAACGGCTGCAGCAGCGCGGTGTATGTGTGTCCCTGTCACTCTGTGCTTGTGTGATACCTTGATGAAGTGAGGACCCTCTGCGTCCTGCTATATGTTTAACTATGGCTCATCTTTGTGTTTCTCTCAGGTGGCGGCCCTCCAGAGGCAGGTGTTGGACTTTCTGGGCTATCAGTGGGCTCCCATTCTGGCCAACTTCCTGCACATTATGGCCATCATCCTGGGCATGTTCGGCACTGTGCAGTTTCGCTTCAGATACCTCATTTTTGTGAGTGTACCCCTCAACGATGCACATTCCTGTTTCTGAACCGTTTGGATTTCTTGCAAACACTTTTGGTTTGGATCTTTGTGGCAGTATGCAGTATGGCTGGTCCTTTGGGTGGGGTGGAACTCCTTCATCATTTGTTTCTACCTGGAAGTGGGAAACCTGTCTCAGGTAAAACACAAATCAGCAACTGTCATTTAACACCTGTCTTTGAAAAACATCCTCTATATCACAATTATCTCCTTCTTTCAGGAAACAAAAGGTCATTACTGTAAAAGAATTAAGAATTCTACTAGAAGCCGTATTATTAGCTCCGCATGACAAAATATTAGGATTTTAGATGAAAATTATGGGTTTTAAACCTCAATTATGCCCAAAACCCTTTTTCCTAGCTAGAAGCTAAATAAAATTCACTCCAGCTGATGTTAAAACAAGGATAAAAGCAACGTGACACTTAACAAATAAAACAAATAAAAAATGTTAGGAGATGAAATCCAGTTTGATCTGATATACACTATATTGCCAAAAGTATTTGCTCACCCATCCAAATTATTGGAATCAGGTGTTCCAATCACTTCCATGGCCACAGGTGTATAAATTCAAGCACCTAGGCATGCAGACTGTTTTTACAAACATTTGTGAAAGAATGGGTCGCTCTCAGGAGCTCAGTGAATTCCAGCGTGGAACTGTGATAGGATGCCACCTGTGCAACAAATCCAGTCGTGAAATTTCCTCGCTCCTAAATATTCCACAGTCAACTGTCAGCTGTATTATAAGAAAATGGAAGTGTTTGGGAACGACAGCAACTCAGCCACGAAGTGGTAGGCCACGTAAACTGACGGAGCGGGGTCAGCGGATGCTGACGCGCATAGTGCGAAGAGGTCGCCAACTTTCTGCAGAGTCAATCACTACAGACCTCCAAACTTCATGTGGCCTTCAGATTAGCTCAAGAACAGTGCGCAGAGAGCTTCATGGAATGGGTTTCCATGGTCGAGCAGCTGCATCCAAGCCATACATCACCAAGTGCAATGCAAAGCGTCGGATGCGGTGGTGTAAAGCACGCCGCCACTGGACTCTAGAGCAGTGGAGACGCGTTCTCTGGAGTGACGAATCGCGCTTCTCCATCTGGCAATCTGATGGACGGGTCTGGGTTTGGCGGTTGCCAGGAGAACGGTACTTGTCTGACTGCATTGTGCCAAGTGTAAAGTTTGGTGGAGGGGGGATTATGGTGTGGGGTTGTTTTTCAGGAGCTGGGCTTGGCCCCTTAGTTCCAGTGAAAGGAACTCTGAATGCTTCAGCATACCAAGACATTTTGGACAATTCCATGCTCCCAACTTTGTGGGAACAGTTTGGAGCTGGCCCCTTCCTCTTCCAACATGACTGTGCACCAGTGCACAAAGCAAGGTCCATAAAGACATGGATGACAGAGTCTGGTGTGGATGAACTTGACTGGCCTGCACAGAGTCCTGACCTCAACCCGATAGAACACCTTTGGGATGAATTAGAGCGGAGACTGAGAGCCAGGCCTTCTCGTCCAACATCAGTGTGCGACCTCACAAATGCGCTTCTGGAAGAATGGTCAAAAATTCCCATAAACACACTCCTAAACCTTGTGGACAGCCTTCCCAGAAGAGTTGAAGCTGTTCTAGCTGCAAAGGGTGGACCGACGTCATATTGAACCCTATGGATTAGGAACGGGATGTCACTTAAGCTCATATGTGAGTCAAGGCAGGTGAGCAAATACTTTTGGCAATATAGTGTACCTCTTGTATCAAAAGATGGGATGAGTTAGGGATATAAAATTATTGAAAATGGTGTTTTAGACAGACAGGTAGGCCTAAAGTCAATAAAGATATGCACTTTTTTTAGTGCAATTCCTATTAATGAACTTTTGAAAATTAGATCAATGAAAGTTTAAAGTTGTTTCTTTCCATCTTTAATAATATATGATCTTTAAAAGGTATCTGGCCTGTTTAGAGGTTGTGAAGAGGAATCAGAGCTGCTCCTCTAGCGTAAAAATATTTGTAACATTTAAAGACTGACGTCTGCTCTCTGCCTGTCCAGGACAGAGACTTTCTCATGACCTTCAACACATCCCTCCATCGCTCCTGGTGGATGGAGCACGGCCCCGGCTGCCTTGTGACACCAGTGCTGGACGGTCAGATGGCCCCCGACGACCATCACGTCATCACGGTGTCGGGGTGCCTCCTCGACTACCAGTACATTGAGGTGTTGAGTTCAGCCATTCAGATCCTTTTGGCTGTAAGTATCTGACTTTCTGTAGATTTGGAATCTGTTGAGATTTTTCATGACTCTAATCTTTTTTTTTTTTTTTTTTTGTTGTTCGACAGCTCTTTGGCTTCGTGTACGCCTGCTACGTGAGCAAAGTCTTCCAAGATGACGAGGACAGCTGTGAGTGCTCTCTGATGGTCTTCTAGTGTCTCATTCGCTTTATCAGGACCACTTGTCCTCCCATCAAGGGTTTTCTTTTGAGGAGCAGTGGTGAGGGGGAAGAATAAGAGCTGTGAGGGGGAAAGATGCTATCTCATAGTTTACCCCTGCATGAGTCATACTTTGAGATCTTAGCCTTCAGGATTCCCTCTGGGTTTATCTGAGCTTCCCATCTGTGGGGAGTATTATGGGCAGGAATGCTCCCATCACGGCTGAGGCCGTCTGGCGGGTTGGCCATCTGTGAGTCTGGCGGGGCTTTCTCATCTGCGTTTTATTCTCACTTAGAGGGATACGGGAAATGATGAAGGGCATGAAAACGGTCAGCTGTTGTATGACTAATGTTAATAATCTCTATCAGTTTTTTATTCTGTCTTTAATAGATTATTAGTTCATTTATTACTATTTATTATTTATTTTATTTTATTGTCGTTGCTATAATTTTGGTGCGTTTATTCGGTCTGAAATGTTCTGCTATTAGCGTCCAAAACACACAGCAGAACAGTTTAATATCGCAATATTGGCGTGTTACCAGTTGCTTTCAGGGGCGCCTATCAGGAAAGTTATTAGTCTAGCGCCTTCAGTGGCTGATGGTTACACGCTTTTGCTTTAAAGCTTAATAATAATAATTGAACCTTATTGATCTCACATTGGAGAAGTTTACCTCTACATTTAACCCATCCCCTTGGGAAGCAGTGGGCTACCATTGTGCGGCGCCCAGGGAGCAATCGGGGGACCCAGAGTGGCAGTGGGGCTCGAACTCAGAACCTAAGGATTCCAAGCTTTATGCCCTAACAACTAGGTCGCCACTCCCCCAAAAGCGTTGTCTTACCAGGAAGACTTTACCCTGGAATTAAGATGAATCGACACAAGATTTGTGAATTCACACACTCCTGAAAATACATCTTGCCAGAAGCCAATAGATGCGTAAGCCTTGAATACAGAAATGTTTTAGACCAATGAAATGCAGTGACTAAATGTAGGAGGGTGAAGCAAAAAAAAAAAAAAAAACAAACAATATGGCTGCCTCGGTAGATTTACTAATAGACTTTACTATTCAGTCTATTTTAACTGGAATAACCTCTAGTTCGTTTTTGGAAAACATGCAAAATGATTGCAGTTGCCTTTCTATTGGTTGATGGGCGTTCCTTTTTACCGAATTTAGTAAGAGTTGGATTTATCTCTTAACTCTGCTAGTTGTGAAACAAATCAAGAAGGTGATACGTCCCAGCTGCTACTATTTCTGTTACTGACTAAAATATTGGCATTGGAGGCAGGAGCCGCTTGGTGATTTAGCCAATCAGCTTGAAGAATTGTTCTGAATGTCCCTCCTTATTGCAAACGCTTACAGGAGACTTTCCAGGTGAATTCTGTGGAGAATTCAGATTGCACTGAGCAGATCAATCTGGCTTAGAAAGCCTTAATTAAGATTAATTCTGTCTTTTTATAGGGAGTCCTGGCTAAGCAAAAAATGTTAACATTGAATTTAAAATAAAAATAAGACACAAGCATTACAAACAGAACAGACACAACAGCAGATTACACACAGGACAGCCTTAGGACGGTTCAATTACACATGAATATTCTTAAAAGAGAAGTTGCATTTCCTTAAAAGTTACCGTTACATGTGAAATGGATTGCTGTTTAGGCAATGAGATGAGCCGAGGCGCGTGTCGAGTAGTGGAGGGGGCTTGCTTCAGGGATCCTATGGGTACCATATTGTGTCAAGGTCAGGGATGTTGTGGTTTGAAAAAACAATGTTGTGTTTGAAATAATTAGGTCAGGGACCTATAAAGTCAACAGGGTTGACAGAAGTTGGTAAAGACGTCATTGTTGGAGTCTGCATTTTTTTTTTTCTACTTGCTTTGATTCTGTTTTATTTTCCTATATCTTAATCATGTAAAGCACTTTGCATTGTCTTTGTACTGAATTGTGCTATACAAATACATTTGCCTTGCCTTGCTTCATTTGGGGGAGGAGCCAAAATAGATGACGTCCGAAGACATTTAAACTGGCTCAGTATTCAGTCAAGATGTGGGAGTTTGTAGGAGAGTTGTGGTCAGTTTGGTAGATTTTGGATATTTCTAAGAATAGATTGGTTGTTTTTCTAACCAATCTAGTTGGTTCAAACTGTTTTGGTTTGATTAAACAATGAAATGATCAAAACCTGACCAAGCCTTTGATCACAGTTGTAACCTTAGTGTTAAATAGTATTACTTTCTAGTGTCCAGTTACCACTGCTATTGGTAGCAGCTGTCACATATGGACTTCCTCTCCTGAGGTGGTTGGTTCGAGACCCACATCAGAAATTTGAAAGTTGTGACAATACTAAACAAGTATTTTGGCTAATGTGGCTAATTTGTATTGGTTTGCCCTAGTGTAAATATAGATTGGGTTAACGCACTGCCAAATTAGATTGGTTGGTTTAGCCAAAATATTGGTTGAACACATAACTTCCAACCCGATTAAAAACAAAAACTCTGGAAAAACTATTATTTTTGAATAAAATGACTAACACCTTTCATTTAGCTCATTATTGCCTAATTTGCATAATCACTTTCACTGTCTGCTTGAGCTCATTTCACTAAAATTACAGAAGAAACAGTGCACCTTAACTGATTGTTCTCTTATAAGACATTTAACACTTAAAAAACCTTACAAAATATTTTATTATACACACCAATAATTAACAATTTCAAAGGAACTTAAAGAAAAAAAACAAACAAGAAAAACACTGGCAAAATATCACAGATTATATTACTAACTGTAGTTCAGCATTCCACCAGTAGGGGGTGACATGTTGACATGAAGCTTCGTGAACTGTGGGGATCGTTGAAGCAATTTGCCCAAACATTTCTGACTGGTGTGTTCCTTGTTCTTCATGATGCTTTATGTGGTTTAAAAAGACCTCTGAGACGATTACAGAGCAGGTGTATTTATGCACAGACGTGATGACACACAGGTGGATTCTATTTATCATCATCGGTCATTTAGGTCAACATTGGATCCTTCAGAGATCCTCACTGAACTTCTGGACAGAGTTTTCTGCACTGAAAGAAAAGGGGCCGATTATTTTGCGTGCTCCACTCTTCAGTTTTTTATTTGTTAAGAAAAAAAAGTTAAATATCCAATGCATTTTGTCCCATTTCATGATCGTATTCCACTTATTGTTGATTCTTCATTAAAAAAAATTACAATTTAATACATTTATATGTGAAGCCGGAAAAGGTGGCAACAGTTCAAAAAGTTTATTTTGCAAGGCACTGCTGTCTAGTAAATAATCCGGTCTGTAGAGTCTACTATTTTGGATTTTAAGAACAATATATTAGTGTAATTGTGCTGTTCCATAGAGCTGTAAGCAACATGCGACACATAAAGGGAAAGAATAAGGTGCTGCGTTTGTACTGGTGAACTACTTTTATTACGTTTCCCCCCAGAGGGATAACTGAGGGAGATTCTCTCATCTTTTCCATGATGAGGAGTGGATTATTTCTCCTAAACATGCTTTAAAACGCTTCAAAACAACATTCAGTTAAAATGCAGAACAACAATTCATTTAAAGGCCTTTGTACGCTTTCCCCAAGGGGGGCAATAACTGTGAAGGTTAATGTGTTTAGAATTTACAGCAGGTTTGCAGCATAAACACACAAAACTATCAAATGACTTTGTAGACTCTCTCTATGAACGCTATTTTGATTAAAATACAATAGGGGGAAAGATTCTGTTTTAAGACAATGTTTCTGTGCTTTTTTCAGTTGATTTCATTGGTGGGTTTGACTCATACGGCTACCAGCCACCTCAGAAGTCCTCTCACCTGCAGCTGCAGCCTCTTTACACGTAAGTATTCTCTTTATTTTTTTTGCCACAGATTTTAAATTTATTGGGATTTGTATATCTGACTGGCATAAATAGGAGGAAAATGAAATGTGCCTGATAAAACCTTGCATGCAGTTATATTTAGATCCCTTTTTTTCTGATAGGCAATAATAAAAACCCAGTAACTCCAACTGCCACATCAGATAGAAAGGATATATAGAAGCAAGTTAAGGGACTAATACAATACCTAACGGCAGCACTTTTGAAGCCACCAGTGGAAACTAAAGGATGTGTGGCATACCTGCAGACTATGGCTGCAGTTAGGCAATGATCTAATGGCTGCTAGAGCTTTAAACTTTATCTTTCCAGCTGAAGGACAATCAAAACGTAGAGCTAGAGCAGGGGTCTACAAGCTGTTGCCCTTGAGCTGCAAGTGGCCCTTAAGACACTCAATATTGGCTCTTCATCACTTTGGCTAAAAATTATGAAGAAAGGGCTAATTTTTTGAACAATAGATATACTATAAAATGCATATTGCATCATTTTCTCCACTGCATTTTCCGTCACACTTATCCCTGCTGGGGTCGTGTTGGGTGCCGGTGCCTATCTCCAGCTGTCTACAGATGAGAGGCAGGGTACACCTGGACAGGTCGCCAGTCCATTGCATGGCAACACAGAGACAAACAGGACAAACAGCCATTCATGCACACACTCACACCTAAGTAGAATTTAGAGAAGCCAATTAAACTAACAGTCATGTTTTTGGACTGTGTGAGGAAGCGGGAGTACCGGGAAAGAACCCACGCATGCCCTGGGAGAACATGCAAACTCCATGCAAAAAGACCCTGGGCCAACCCAGAACCTTCTTGCTGCAAGGCAGCAGTGCTACCCACTGTTTCACTGAGTAGCCCCTAGAAAATCATGTATTTTTAATTTGGGTAAAAATAGTTTTTTAAGATATATTTTTTAATATATGTGTTAAATCTAAGTTATCTTTTTTTATTTGCTTTAAAGAAAGATCATGTACTGTTTAGAACTCAAGTTCTGTTCTTTAAGAAAAACATAATTTTTTTTTATTATTCTCAAAATAAATGGACTCTTATTAAAAAATAGATTTTTTTTGTCTTTTTTAAGGAGGAAAAATGTTTTTTATACATAATTTTCCAAAATATCACCAACCCATTGAGAACTTTTTTTCTCTCATCACAAGTTCCAACATTTTCCATCATTTTAAATCCTAAAATTTGAAGTTCTTGTTTTAGAAAATTAAAATTTCCATTTGTAGATATTTATTAAATATAAGTTATAAGGCCCTGCAAAGTTTGCTGCTTTAAGCAAGTTTTTTAGCTGGACTGAAGTCAAAAATGACTCTTTGAGTTATAACGTTTGCAGACCCCTAAGCTGGAGCTACACTGGACTAGATTAAAGCATATTAATGAGTCAGAATGGCCTAGTCAAAGTCTAGACCTCCAGAATCTGCACCAAGGCTTGAAAATTGATAACTGAGATTAGGATACTTATCCAGCAGGAGTATGTGAAAAAGGCCAAGGAGAAATAAAGACAACGGTTTATTTTTTAATTTGGTTTTAAAAGTAAATAAAAAACTAACTTCTATGATTTTCCTTTCACTACATAGTTATGTAGGGTCGATATGTTTTTTTTATATCACTCTAATACTCTCATCTCATCATCTTCTCCTCCCAGGGCTGGTTAAGTGTCTGTAGCGCCCCCTTGAGGCCCTAAGCTGAAGTTGTCACTGTGGATGGAAAGAAAGCAGCAACAGGTCATCATGAGTCATGATTACACTCACTCTTTTGTGTCACAGTTTTTTACCCCGAGAAGAAGACTTTTTTTGAGCTCAGGAGGAGAGACGTGTTTAAATGTTTGTGTCTGAAGAACGAGAAGGAAATCATCCCTGAAACGACCGTTTGCAGGAGCTCAGGGAAGAACCAGCATGCTGGGTGGAAGAGGAGAGAAGATCCCCTAAAAACTGCCAGCTCTAAATGCTTCCTCCTGAGTGTGTGTGTGTGTGTGTGTGTGTGTGTGTGTGTGTGTGTGTGTGTGTGTGTGTGTGTGTGTGTGTGTGTGTGTGTGTGTGTGTGTGTGTGTGTGTGTGTGTGTGTGTGTGTGTGTGTGTGTGTCTGATAGGAGATGGTGCTCTGCGGTTGCACCCTGGACTCTATGACCACTTTGCGCGTCTGTATTGGTTTGTTTTCTTGTTCGGGTGAATTTTCCAGTGTATGGATGTTTAGGAGGGGCGGGGTCACATCGTAAACCGAGGCAAGGCTCGTACCTGCTGTTGTTTTAGAGTGTGATGTTAAGCTAGAGCAGTCCTGCAGTTTCCTCTTCCCAAAGCCGTCTTTCCTTCTCCCCACCTGCACAGCTAAGATGAGGGCGTCAACCACAGCTCATGATGAATCAACCCTGCATTATTCTGTATTTGTCTCCATATGGAATAGCGATTAAAAAAGTAATCAAAGTGGGAGGGCTGCCGTGCAATAATCTCACAAACTGGTGTTATTTTCGGACTAAAAAGCAGCTGCTATCCCTCCATGCAATGTCATGACAATAAAAGGTACCAAGCTCATCAGTTAGGCATTGATCAGATGGCTTTGGGATGAGGCATTAGTGTCTTTTTTTTTTTTTTTTTTTTTCTGTGGGGTTGGGAAGGAGTAGTGTGCATGTAAATAACCAGCCGATGATTGTTTCGTTGGTGCCATTTACAAAAATAGGGGGTCACATTAACTTGTGGGGGGGTCACATACCTTCTTTTAGCTTCATACCAGTTTCCCTTGTTCTCTCCTTCTGTATATACCCTCTTGTTCCCCCTTTTCTTTGGAGGAACTGCAGTATTTCTCCTCTGTAATACGTAGATGTTAAGCCGAGCAGCTCGTTTATTGATTCTCATCGGAAAGACACTTTGAAGATTCTTTTTCTCTTTTTTTTTTTTTGACAATAAGTGAGACGGAATGTGAGAATAAAGGAGACGGGTATGAGGTCCAGAACTTGATGGGTGTAAAGTAAAGTTTGAAATAATAAAAGTACACTTTCTACTTTAAATGTGACTTCTGTCGTCATCTGCAGACAAACCTGTGTCAGAGAGTGTCTAAAGGTGTAATAAACTGAGTGCTGTCATGACTAGGTTGGTTTCAGTATTCACTGTCTGAGGATATATCCCATTTTACTTCATAATCCCTACTGTTATACTTCCCTCTGTATCAGGAGGGCTTCACTGAACAACAGCACGAGTCTTCCTGCAGGACCTCAGCCGCCCACTAGGGGGCTCCTGCCCCATGTTGAAGACCTTGCCTCTAAATGCTCTGGAGTCTGATTTTAAGATCTCTACCTGCATATATACACAAAAACTAAAATGTTTTTTTCACTCTTATTGTTTTATATATGACTTAAATTACAATGTGATTTTTTTTTATCTTCCAGATTTAAAATACTTTTTAAATGTTTCACCATCTAGAGTTAAAAATACATGTTTTTTTCTTCAATTTAAATATTTTACTATTAGAGCAACATTTATTCTGTGCAATTTGATGAATACAAAAATTGAAGCAAAGGGCATTAGTATTTTAATAGTAGATAAATACAGAATTCAGCTTATGTGTACTGATTTTGCTTATTTTCGGCAAGTGGTTTCTTTTTCTTAACAATCAAAACTTGATAAAAAAAAAAATACTAAAAAACTTTCTGATACATATAATTTTATATTTCCTTAGATATTAAACAGCAGGATATTTTATTGATATTTTCACAACCATAGAAGCCCACAGTTACCTAGGTAGATTTTCTAGTTTACTGATGCTGCATGCATGTTTTTGGCCTTGGTACAGAAACATGCAAAATAAAAAAAATACAAATTTGTCTGGGATTAAATCATATTGCTTCAAGGTAAAGTAACTGTTCCATCCTGCAGACCTGACAGAGAAACAAACAAAAACAGTAAAACACTAAGATTGAAATCTACTCTAATGAATTGTGACACATAAATTCAAATCAAAAATACTTTATTAATACAAAAGGGAAATTAAATGTTGCAGTAATTCATAGTTGTTTATGTCTTAGACACAATATTGATTAATAAATGTGTAAAAATACACTTTTTAAATGTATATTTTAAAATAGTACAATGTTTATACTAAATAAGGATGCAAGCAACGTTTTTCCAGAATTTTTTGTGTCATTACACTGTCACAAGTACAGCGCAACAAAATGAACTCTCTGCATTTAACCCACCCCCTTGGGGAGCAGCGAACTGCAATTTGTGGTGCCTGGGGAGAAGTGTGGGGTTAAGGGTCTTTGCTCAGTGGCACTCTGTGGGAGTTGGTTTCGAACTCACAACCTCAGTTATCCAATATTGGTAAGATATGAATTTAAAATAGTATAAATTTTAAAAAAATACAAATAGTCCCTTTAAATATGGTTTACCTCACAGCGTTATAAAGCAAACAAAGTTATAGAATGAGTCTCAAAATTTAAGCAGCTAATTAATGAGATTTGTTTTTTTTTTTTTGCAAAGTTGGAAAAATTTATAAAGCTGTTTAAAAAAAACTTTTGGCACCTTTTAATGTGATTTTTTCTCTCTACATATTTGCTAAAAGGGAAACTTGGGGTAAAAAATATAAACAAAAATCTACTCACATGAGTGTTCATACCCCACAGTTTCCTTCATAAAAGTATTTTTATTTTTGTTATTTCAGATCCACTTTATTTGGCATGTCTTCTCCAAATCTCTAGGATTGTAAGGCCATCTCTCCCCTCTTCATTTCACCCCCAAAGATTGAGTGCAGGGCTCTGGTACTGGTGATCTTCCAAATCACTTTGGTGCTAAATCCATTTTCATAATCAGTTTTCTACTAGAAATCTACACACACCATGTAATGACTAAGCACTGGTTTAAATGTAGAATTCAAAGAGTTTAATCCTGGTAATCTACACACAGGTATAAATATTCTGAGGTTTTTAAGGGGATGAGTGTCACAAATACATGCCCAAAAATATCATAAAAAGAACAAAAATCATTCATTTAAAAAAAAAACTCCCTCATCTATGACAAATATTGTCTGCCCATGCTATATATTTCAGAACAGAAGGGTAATAAATGATTAATCAAGCCTTAAATATTATCTTGTAATGGGGGTTTCTGTAATCTGGGACTGCAATTCTTTCCAACACGAGGTAACCTGTAATGTTTACTTATTTATTAACCACCAGGGTTTACTGAATGATCTGCTGCTACCACGCTGTTTATACGATCCTTTTGACTGTTTAACCATGACGTCAGGCGTGCAAGCAGCTTGCAGTCAGTCCTAAAAGTCTCCATATTTCTCCAAAGGTAAGCTTTTTTTATGGAGGAGCCTTTTGCATCTACATTACATCATCCTGCCTCAGCAGCCTCTCTCTCTCTCTGTAGCCTCCGGATTGGCACGCAGACATCCCACAATCCCCCTGGGATGTTTTTATTTTTCATTTCTATCTTTATTTATCCCCTCCGTGCCACCCGCTTCGCATTCCAGAGATTTAACGGGGCGTCCTGGAGCCACGCACCGGATGGCCGCGCGGTGCAGCACGCTGCCATGGTTGCACGCGCCCCGTTACCTTGGAGACCCGTTTTGCTTTGTGTCTGTAGCACGATGATACATCTTCTCACCACAGCCCAACGAGCTGGAGAGCTTTCTACATTTAATTCTCATTGCAAGTTTCCTGCTATCGATTAAAACCTGGAGTAGTTCATTTTTTCAATGTTTAAACAAGCACCTTTCTGGCTATATTTCACTTTTTTGAGCTGACTCTATTGAACAGTATTATTTGTGTAATTAGGGTTAAATCCAAACCATAACAAATACTGCGAACAATACCAGCAGACAAGACAGTTAACAAAGGGACCGGTCCGATGTTAACCCCCCCCCCCTGTCTAGCTGTGTTTAAAGTATGTATAGAAAGCCGCTTTATCATATAATTGTTAGAAAGATTAATTTTCTTCTTCTTCTTCTTCTTCTTCTTCTTCTTCTTCTTCTTCTTCTTCTTCTTCTTCTTCTTCTTCTTCTTCTTCTTCTTCTTCTTCTTCTTCTTCTTCTTCTTCTTCTTCTTCTTCTTCTTCTTCTTCTTCTTCTTCTTCTTCTTCTTCTTCTTCTTCTTCTTCTTCTTCTTGTTATTATTATTATTATTATATTACAGTGTCCTGTGTGGCAATAAGCATCTTGACGCCAAAAAAGAGCTTAACAGATTTTACTTTCACAAGTGGAGCAGTACGGTTATCGCCATAGTGTTCCACTTGATTTATGCATATAAATAGCTTTATTATAATTATGCAGGGAGTTTTAAAGATTATATGGACACTGCAATGTCAGTACAACAAGAAAGGAAAAACAGAAAAAAGGAGAAAAGATGAAAGAAAAAGAGATAAAAGAGAGATAATGACAAAACATCTTCAGTCAGAACAGCACAACCAACGGACATGTTACAAGATATACAATAAAGTAACACCTTTATACTATCGCTGAAGTATGTGGTAGCTGAAGATAAGAATATGGCTTTCTGTATGGAAGTGAATCTCTAAGTACCTGGTGCCCCCCAGGAGCCATAAAAGGAGCCAGGACCAGTTCTGCAGGGGCACTGGCCCCTGTTGGCCCCCATCCAGAGCAGCCCATGGTTAAACTGAGAAACAGACCTTTTAGATATCTAAAAAAAAACATCGATATTACACAAGAGTTCATTTTCAATTGATCTAAAATAAATAAAAAAACACAACCAAATATTTTATTAAGGGAACTGCGATATTTTTATTACACATGGTGCTATTAACTGCAGGAAATAATAACTCTCAAATATAAGCTCTTGGAGAAATTCTATTTCCATTTGGTAGATTTAGTAAATTATTGCTAACATGAGAATTGTCTCCTTTAACATACATTTAAAATCTCTACAAAAATAGCAACAAATCAGAGTTTCACCTATTCAAAAATAAAATCTTGAATACATTTGAATATCTCATAATGCAAATATTTT